GGAATGTGTATAGGGATTGGATATGTTAAGGTGGTACCCCTAGGTCTCATTTCTTGCTGGGTATAGAATTTTCCCACGCTTTTGGATTTAGTCGGGTGCCGTCTCGACTAAGGTATCCTGCCGTTGTTTTGAATAGGGGATGTCCGTCTATGTGTTTATATGTCTGTGATCCGCCCTGAGTTGAAGTGCACCCTCACCGGCGTAAAAAGACAGATTGGTATTAAGTTTCCCAACCAGGTTCTTGCACGCGTTCGGTGTACACGCAAAGACCGTGCGTTCCAGTATAAATTCGTTGCGCGTACTCAGGGTGCTCCGCGTCAACGTGCGTGCCTACACGGTGAGTTCGTACCAATGGGCTGTCAATCTTATTCAAAAACACGCCTTCGTTTGTTCCTGCTCGGAGCAGATACACACAGACATGTTTTTGGCTATAGACATATCCGACGAGGCGCCATTCCGAGGGGCCATTACACTCACGTAGTTGTCTCAACCCGAGCGCGCACGCGCACTTCGGCAATTGACAACAGCCTATTGGGCCAAGGAAGAATTTCACGTGGGTGCACCGCCTGCGTGCGAATAGGATGGCCCCGTAGTAACCCTCTGTTTCGACGCCACAACAATCAGCACACTGTCGAAATCAACAAAGGAATTATTCTTTCATAGAATCTGTCCTTGTCAGCCATTTCATCTATTTCAGGATCATTACTAAAAACCGACACAAAATACACAGCTCGATGAAATATCTAAAACAGTCATTACCATTACCGTGGTTGGAAAATTCCATTTGTCACGCATTTAAATCCGTTACCACTGCATTCACAAATGTCTGTGACTGGGTACAAAATTTTGTTTTGAGATTTGCATTCACTGCCACACGCAAAGTTTGTTCACCTGAAACACGGATGAAAAAAGTTTATTGACCAACACAAAATACACGCATGAATACTGCTGCTCGGAATTACATGAGAACTCGCAATGATTCTTTGAGTGAAATCCCTTTTCCAGGGGCGTAAATCTGCGTCGGAAATTGGGGGAATGGGGAAGGGGAATTGTGTGTGTGGGGTGACTTGCCCGGCCATTGAAATTTGAAAAGCGGGGGGGGGATTGACAAAATATGACACAGGGCGATGTTAATAATACAGATGTACATCTGTAATATGTATTAGACATTCATACAGAATCTTGCATCAGAATGGCTTATTTATGGCTTTTTAATGTTCTCCCTTGTCGAGTGATATTGAATACATTTTAGATGTTTGGAGGTCCGAAATATTCTTCACAATATGCTTTAATTTTTCTTGTACCACGAAAAAATTATTCAATAGCCAACCCCCAAACCCCTAGTTGTGTGTGTGTGGCGTTGTGTGGGTGTATACCCCCTTGCCCTGCAGCCTGAGATTTAAGCCATTTCTTTTTCATCGCACACAAGAAATTCTCGGTACAGACAAAGAGCTCATAAAGCGCATACTGTTGTTTTTTTTTCAAATTGTGACACAGAAAAATCCAGCAAGAGCGTCTTGTTGGACAAACTGAAATGAAAAACAGCAGCGGGAAAGACCGGTTTTTGAAGATGTCGTGACGTTGAGCATCGCGAGCGCATCTGAAACTATAGTTTCTGATTTCACAACGGAGAGATATTTATTGACAAATTGTACACGGCATTTTGAAAAACAAATGCTGCAGTGTTACGTAAGTAAGAAGGGTGTTGATAAGCAATAGTTGGAAAGTTGAATCTGTTCGGAACTGTGGTGGCGTACCCAGCGAAAGATAGGGGTGCAACCCCCTCCCTTCAGATAGGTTGCCTTTTTTTCTCATTTTTTAACTTTTCTTTGTAAAGTTATATGAAGTAATCTGATTTAAGTTTATGATTGGTTCAACAGACATAAAATTGTCACGTGTTAAAGCTCCCCCGTTTCTGCTGGGTTAGCACTTTATTAACTGAAAGAGCAAAGAGTTACAAACACATAATGCAGAAACCACCGTTGCCCGTCTGAGATTCTCCCTCAAGACGACCGATTTTATTAACCCTGTGTGATGCAGTATCCACGTCTTTATTGCCATTCCAATTTCATGTTTTTTACAAAAGGTTTGTTTTTAGCGCGTTTTAGAAACGGTTCTCGGTGCTCGTTCAATTAAACAGGGAAGATTTTAATACCCAATAAAATCAACGCGTCACTTTTGATGCAGAGATGCCCGAATCACTGGCAGCGAAAGCGGCGGGGCCAGGGGGCCAGTGCCCCCCCCCCACTTTTTCGACTGGGGAGGGGGATGGTCGCCCCACTTTTGCAGGGCCTATTAATGGAGTGGGGCTTAATGGATCGGCCATTTGCTCAATGATGTATTTCAGCCAAGGATTAAAAAAATGGTTATTGAATCAACCATCTGTCCAGAAACTTCATGGAAAACCCATGCTGATAGCGTGCAGGTTCACTATATATAAGACCCAACTATGTCCACTTCCTACGAGATTCGTCCTGCAGCAACTTTAACCAGCTACTCACCGTGGGCCTTCCAGTTGCATTTATTAACTTGCAATCAGTGTAGACGTTTGCGTACATCCGTGGTGGCAATATTTGAGTGACTGCTCACAACCATGACTAATTCCCTCGGTCTAGTGATCCTCTTCGCCGTGGTGATAATTGCAAAAGGTTTGTGCAACTTGTCATTTGGGTTTATTTTCGGTTTTGGTTTGTTTAAATATGTTGTCGATTGAAGCGCTTCTCCCTCTGCAACCGAAAATGAACGTGCATCACTTGCACTGTACTATTCCTGGCCCTACAATGTTTTAGACTGATCCCCACAGACGGTTCACTGCTTCGACGTCACAAATTTGCGTTTGTGTGTGTTCGTTTTTGGGCATAGTATAATGAACTTGTCTTTACACGTAATTCTAGCACCATACGATACCGTGTTGGTGAAAAAATTTCTCTGCTTCGCAAATGAAAATAGCATCGCTAGTAAGTTTTCTTTTCAGTGTTAGGCCAAACAAATCTTTTGTCTGTGGTCAGCGCACGGAAGTTTTGAAGCATTCGCGTCATTTTTTTCTCTGCGAGAGCTGCAACAGCGCCCTCCATTGCTGCACTGCCTCAACATTTTGCGGGAAGCTCGATCTTTAAACTCTGGGCAATAGATCCCGACAAGATCGATGTTGATCATTAGCAGACTATAGATACGAAGTTGTCAGCTTAGTGCAGCCTCGTTCCCGTGGGTACGATATTGCAGCGCCATGTTGGTTCCCGCCATGCCTCGCGCGATCTAGTGAAGGAACGCGCGCGTTACATGCCTCTTCGACCAATAGGGTGTCGTGATTTGCCAAATGCACGCGCCCATCAAGCTAAAGAATGTACATGTGCATGCAGTGCCATCCACAGCAATCAGAAGAAATTGTTTTTTTTTCTAAATCGTTCGAAACCACATGTTCAAGCTCTGACTGGAATAGCGAAACTGAAGTCTAAGCCGAATCCACTGATTTTGAAAACGCTCTCAGGTGCCACCGCAGTTATGGCTGCACTACACCAAATACGTGCCCATAGAAAACAGTGCAAAATAAGACCGAAATAGCGCCGCCTGTCGACTCTTGGGAAGAGCTTGGCCTCCGTTTTTTTCACTGGAACTTCAAGATCTTTTCATGGCCAGAAGATAAGTTTTCGTTTCAATTTAATTTACGGGCGTTAGCCACGAATTTTGTTTTATTCACCTTTCCCCGAAGATACCCCCAAAATAGTAATAAATCTGTGAGCTCAGGTCTGATTGTAGCCGCTCGTCTCTATCCAAAATAGGTCCGAAATTTGGGGCTTTTTGTAAAATGTCTTTTTGTAAAACCCCGTGAGATCACAAAATATTAAATGAGCTCTCGCGCAGAGATACAACGATTTGGTGGACTGCACCTTTTAGGGGTCTTATCAGATAAATCTGTAATAGAAATCATAATAACATTGGTCTAGTCCCGTGACTCAACAACGTGTACCTGCAATTGTTATCCGACCCTTGGGGAGGGGTAAAAAGCTGCGTCGCCGTATCAGTTCCGGAGCATTTATGTCGACGGGAGACAATCTTTTTGGGGCTTTTTTCTTAATGCAACATTCGCTCAGCTGCATTATAATGTTGCTGCACGTCCGATTTGCACAGCTACACACAAATAAACAGCACATGTTGACCTCTCCAGCGCTAGCAGTCACTTGAACCGATCTCGTTTCTTTTTCCACCAGGAGCTTATCATCCGGTCGAAGCAGATCAGCCAGAATGGACCCAGCATCAGATATCTCCTCGTGTCAACCTTACCGGAGTGTTCAAAGTGCTAGGTAAGACTTCCATCATTCTACACGTATGTTCACGTCCCACCGGCCTGCTGCAACGGATGATTTAATTGGATTGAGCTGCGCATGCTCAGTACCGTTTGGAAGCAAGCCCAGCCATTTTCCTCGGAAGCAGACGACGCACGGTGAACCGCGTTACAAAACAGGCGCAAAAGCTAGCATTTTTTTCAAAAACATGAAGAATGTGGTTATTTACAACCGACGGGAACAATAAAACACTTATGAAGCAAAGGTTTAACAGGCATTTTTAGGTGAAATTTTTTACTAGAAAATGTAAAAAAGTGTATTTACAATAACTTTTGATGAAGCTTTGAACCAGAAACCTCCATTTACCACTTCACCTTTAATTGTAATATATTATATGAGAATCGTTTTTCTTGGAAAAAAAAATTGAACGCCATAAGATCAAACAACAACGAAAACATATTTCTAAATGCGTTTCATTCGAATGCCTATGCAATTTTACGAGAGAATGGCCCCAGAATGTTTTCGTTTACGTAAAAACGGTGGGGGGAAGCCATTTTGATTTCAAACTTGATTCTCGCTATCGAATATTAACTCGAATACTATTTCCCCCAGTGATATACTGTATGTGTTAAGTTTGAAACCGCAAATGGCATGTATACTTACATTTGGCAGGGATGAAGTTCGTTATATGGTATATGGAGGCGGACCGTATTTGATGAATGGTGTTTATGTTCCGTATTTGCTTCAATACAAAAAAACCACCGCTTGTGTGATAATCTGCTTAAAACATGTCAAAACCGGCAATAGCCAGTGGCGATGAGTTCCATGCAGAACACTATTATTTTCACTGTGAAAAAAGGGTACATGTGGTGTACGGAAACATCTCACAATTATCAGTCTTACCATTATGATGCAGCTTAGCTGTTAATGTTGGAGCATCCTTTGCAAAGTTTTTGGGAAAAGAAGTTCTTTTTCTCAATCACATATTCCAGAGCACAGATTTGATATTATATTCTTGTCGATATTCTGATCACGGTGCTACGCAGCCCTTCCATAGTTCTCAAGTTGACATTGTTACATCAATATAATTATAATGCATCCACCTGGCGCCCGTACGACAGGATTCTAACTCACCGAGTATGCGATATGTGTTGTCTTTACCATCACATTATTGTGTTCAATTTTTTTTTAAACTGAAGGTCGCAAGCTGGAAGAGGGGCTCCCCACCCCCGAGAACGGGCAGTTTCTTTGCTTGTATTGCAACATGCTTCTGAGCTTCGTCAAGAACATTTCGACCGACAGGGGGTTTTTGGTGAGTACATGCACATAATGGCCTACATGTACATTCGTGCTTGCCTAAGACAAAACTCGCGTAATTTCTGGCGAATCAGTAAATTAATGGCACTAAGTTATCGTTAACAACGTCGACATTATAGCGCATATTTCGACAGTACATTCTCACCTGTGTTGCTTACTTACTGGTGTGACATGTTCGCGTGCTTGAAGTAGGTCTGTTTTGTTCATGCATCACTGTTCTGGTGTCATATTGCTCAAACATTGAGGTCAGTGCACACGATCATTTTGTACTTGTTGGACATTACCAGAAAAGTTTGTTATTACCGCGACCGCCTTACATTTATCGTATTCCTCAAAGTTCAAGTGTAAATTAAAATCTATATCGACTTGATAACTTACCCGTTGACTTTCAACAACGCACGCGCATGCCTCGAGTTGAACCAAAATTGGGCGCTGTTTTCTTAGCAATGGAGGCTCGCCGTGTCCGAATCAATTGGCTGTGGCTGAAATTACCCCCGAGTCTATGGTAGTCGCCGCGGTCAGTTCCCATAGAGTCGTGTGTGATTTCAAGCCACAGCCAAGTAATTCAGACACAGCCTAAACTGAACTTCTCTGGTTCACGAACGACCAGGAAATCGCTACCAATGACCACTCCCAACCAGTATGGCTCTTTCTAACTGACGGGGGGGGGGGGGTACTTCTGCTAAGGCGGATTACACCTCCGTATTAATCCCTTTCGCTCTCAACCACCTTTTGCCATCGCACTTGGTCAGGCACTGTGGCATATATTGAGGTCAACGATGTATTTGCGCACACTTTGTCAAATAGGCATACAGCGTCAAGATGCATGTTTTTGGTAACGATGACGTTACAGAGTCCAAATTCTCCCCAATGTATTGCTTACACAGGACATGTTAGTCAGAACCAACAAGGAGGCTTGCCACTTCTTAAGTCCGGCAGGCTTCGAAAAGTACTGTGAAGACTATGTGAGAGGAATGCCAAACCTCATTGTAACATTTGTGGACGAATACCTGGTAAGTCCTTTTCATAATGTGTCCCAATTGGTGTAAGGTTTATACTGTCCCGGATTCACAGTTCTTTTCGGGTCTCAGAGAATACAGGCCACCCACAATAGTGCGTCTCCCAGAGTTTGCAACGAAGTTGGCCAATTACATTGCGCAAAATCTGTCGACCCAATGCACGTTTGGTGGACAAGGTCGACAGATTTCGCGCATCGCGATTGGCCAACGCATTGCAAACTCTTGGAGGCACACTACTGCGAATCGCCTATATTGCTACGTAATGCTCCTGCAAACTTACTCCTGTGTTGCTCACTTCACTGTGCAAACCGTTCAGTTTTATAGGTCAGAGGGGTACCTTCTATGATCATTTCTGAGGTCATACTTACTTTTGGATAATTTGGTTTAAACAAAACCTAGGTTTCGAACTACGAGTGCCGCATCTATTTCAACTTTATCGACGCAATATTAACCAAGGAAAATATTGAAATATATGTCACGACTGGTTGCCCTATTGTCGCCACCCTTATAACCATGAAGAAAAGACATGAACTAAGATATGAACTAATCCGACTAGATACGCACATTCTTCAGCTTGACGCACGCGTGCATTTGGCAAATCAGGACGCCCTATTGGCTGAAGAGGCATGTGACGTGCGCGTCAGGCCTACCACCTGTCCACAAGCGTTGTGCCAGTGCAGTAATGGATTTTATCTCTGGCTGTCCAGTAAGGAGCACATTATACATACACCAAATATTCTAGAACGCGTACACATTATCCATCAACACTGTGCTCAATGTGCTACGCAACATAGTCATCCATTCTCATCGCCATCGGGTTCCAAAACATGTCTTAAAACCATTGGAACTGCACGGGCAGTACCCATTTTATGTATATTCCTGGATCGAGAGAAGCATTTGGGGTAAAATGGCTTTCCCCGGAGTCATAGGTAGGCCTATGTCCAATCGATGGATTCGAAACCCTGACCCCATGGTAGGGAGTTGTACGACCTAAGAACTATAGGTCACGCGTTCCACTTGAATGCTCCGTTGTTATTATTTGCAAATGTTGCGAAATGCATTTTACACTGCTTTTCGCAACATTTCGCAACTTTCCCAAATACAATTTAATGTTATTCTATTGTTTGGCCTTCACACGCTGTATGCCCGGGATTTCGAAACTAAAATTGTATGATGGATTTTCTCACTCGACAGGATCCGGCGAAGAACTGTGCAACGGTGTGCCGTGGTAACTTTGTTCAGAAGATGGAAGGGGCTCAGTCCAAGAAGTTTTGGAAGTAGGAACCACTTCCATCCAACCCGGAGAAATCGACAACTACGACCTGACAAAAGTTCTTGGTGATATTCAGTTTTGAAACGATTGAAAGTTTAAGAAAGGAAAATATTATTTTTTGCTACAGCTTGAAGTACCAATCCTCATTGTTTCATTGCTTTGCATTAATAATTGTGCTATTTGGTAGACACCTTGTCATTTAACAAATATCCATTACTTCATTGCTTTGCATCAATTAATGTGCTAATTGATAGACAATTGTCCTAAGAGCAGATCTTAGAGAGGCATTCGACACTAGGAAGATATTGGAGGGTCTCCCATTAGCGCATTTGGTACCAGAAGGAAACCCAATTGTTTCGTTTTTGTCCGATAGTTTGATAGTGTATTCCCGGGGACCCCCTTATGAGGGTCGCCGGCGCGAGCCAGTTAGGAAAGAACACAAATTCAAGAAAATAATTCAAACCGGGCATATGCTAATCGTGGTCTCCGGATAAAATATCAAAAATGAGATTATAATTTTAAGTCTCTGGGAAATATGCAGTTTCTGTAAAGCTAAAAAAATAGGGTTGAAATATTGACAGCAAAAGGCGAGAACAACTGAGCATGCACTGAGTGAACTAGGTCCCCATGACACTCGATGTTTTAAGAGTTAAGTATAAGAAAACAAAAATAAATACTCACGTGAATTTGGTGGAAAAGCCGAAGGACGGTGGCAACTCACACTAAAGAAAATCAGGCTACATACAGTAAATGTCCAATAGTAAGACTCAAAACATGTATATGCAGACCGCCGCCCGGCGAGCTAGAAGTGCCCCCAGCCAGAGAATTCTTCAAAATGCCTTGCCCACTGGCAGTGCTGGACACATGGGCCATTACAGTACTCCATGTGCATTGAATTAGAGAACATTGAAAAAGCCCACTTTATTTATTTATTTTTTTGTTATTTAAGACACTAATCTTGGCCCGGCCCCCAGAAAGAATCCGCTATCACAAAGAACATGCTAATAGCTGAGCGAACTATGTACTTTTAGAACTTAAAACGGGTATCTTGGCTTAGCCGCCCCCCCTTGCAAAAAAAGAGTGTTAAACACCCCAAACCTGTGGGCTTTATTTAGTGAATAAAACTACACGCAAAGACGTTTTTGTTACAGTGGTTAGAAGTCGGAGGGGTACACTCTAGACTATTTACTGTTACCTAACACATTCCCTAGACGTCTGAAAAGCATTCCTGAGATTCCGGTAAAACTGTGGCCAACACAAAGGGGGAGGTTCTCTCCATCCCATATCTTGCTTCAAATGTAGTTTGATTGAGTCACGGTGTCAAAGTTTTACATGAATGTTTGGGAATGTCTCCCTATTAAAGGTATCAATCTCTATTAAGGCCACGTAAAAATCATTAATGACCATCCCCGCCTGACCCTCCAAATCATTCTGACCCTTTTTTTCAGTTTTCATTAAAAAGGGGGGGGGATATAAAAAAGCGCCGAAAAATTACACGAGAAACGATTCGAAGTTTACCTTTCGGTCTGAGAATTCGCGCAAGACGAGCTAATTCTCGATCGGAGGCTGTTCCATCTATTCCACACGCGCTAGGAAAGGGCAAAGCTCCCATTCATTTAACTTAAGGAAAGGGTGATAACCGGAATTGGAACAGCACCACTGGCAAATCAGACACGGCCGCGTCCGCATTGCTGGCTGCACAAGCATAAAGGGAAACTGAGCAGGGCTCGACTGTACTGGTAGGCCTATCCTGTATAAACATGCCGGCATTTAAACACAGTTCTTAAAAAAAAAAACTCTCCCCCACCCTCCCTTTTTGGACAGAAAGGACAATTTTTTTCGCATGGCCTAAATATTTTAGATGCCTAGACGGTGTTATGCATGTAGAATCATTGTAGCAATTAAGTCTTCTCTTATATTTTTGAGTGAGGTATCCATTGCAGAATGGTTTAGAGATACACCATAAGCCCCACCTGCATTGCCAGGGTGTATAACCAGAATGCGGATGCCGATCTTAAACGTAATTAGAAATGTACGCTAGAGAAGAGAGATAAGCATTCAATAATTAAAATACTGCTGCACATTCTGTAAATTCGGTGAAATTGCTTTTAAAAATTTCTTTCACGTCTCGTCTTTATGCCGAAACAACGACTCCCTAGCCTGTACGTAGCACCCAACCAAAACGCTATTATAATAATTTATCCACGAAAGGACTGCTGAATCAACAGAAATTGCAATCTTTTCAACCTTGTTCCCTGGTCGACAATTAGTGTATGATCGTTGTAGCGCCCAGTCCCCATGATGATACAAAAAAAAAACGTTTGTTTTGGTGCTTTGCACCACTTTCAGGTTCCCACTGCAGCTGCGGATTTGGACTGAGATGTATTCCATACAACAGGTTGTATTAAGATTGTCATAACAATCAAACCGCATTGCCCCCCCGAACGACTTTAGCATGCCCATATCCTTTCTCACACGTAGATTATGAGCAAGCAACACAACTCAAAGTTGTATTTTGCCGCTTTGCAGAAGAAAGGGCTGCAGGCCAGTAAAAAGGCCACTGCATGGCGGCGGAAGGGGTGAGGGGAGGGGGCGGCAGTGGCCCCCTTCACTTTTTCGACTGGGGGGCCTGGCCCCCACCTTTGGCAGGTCCTGTAATTGGTTGGGGTTCAATGCATCGAGCTATTAATGGCTGATGCCAGATAGTCCAACTGCCCCCCCCACTTTGAAAATCGTTTCGCCGTCGGTGAAAAAGGACCAAACTGCCCGCGCTGACCAAATCACGACCTGCATGCGCTCTCAGATTCTCTGCTTTAGCGGCATTTTGGTCCGTGAATTGAAGGTGGTATTAATGAAACTGCCGTATCCAGGGGCATGTTTTGGTGACCCGAACCACGAACATGTTTCAGCTTCGGTCATGATTGGTTAAGTGTTTTCGCGATTTGGTTATGCCTCTGTGATGTCGTTGTTCCGACCGAACGCGAACCGAAGGTTGGAGTTGGTTCAACGCCAGTTCAAAATGGCGGAAAATAAACAGACAGTTTTTGTCTTTCCTCTGACGAGTGAATTATACATTTCAAAATTTGTTGTTGCATTCAGAGAATCAAAGAGACACTTTCTTCTAGAACGTACGTGAAAAGAGAGCAGCACTTGACGGTGAGAAACATGGCGAACAATGATTGTACTTCCTTGTGCTTGCCTCTGTCGGATGACGTGACCGTTTTTGCTTCTTCGTTAAGTTGTGAGCCACCCTCAACGTGTTCCTGGTTACTGCTTTCACGTCACAAACATGTTTTTAGTTAGGGGCCGCCAAAACACGCCCCTAGTTATGAGTTTCAACACTCCCGACAAACGCGGCTCTTTTCAACCGATGAGGGGGTGCTTCTGCTCGAGGCGGATATATATAGCTCCGCCCTAGACGCCATCAACTGCATTCCCTGTTTGCTGCGATATTCGGTAGCTGGTTCGAAGCTTTTCCTAAATCGAAAACTGACAAAGACACGTGAAAAACTATTACCTGCGTGTTTCATGGCACCCATAGGCTTTTAAAATTGGCGTACAAGGCCCTACCCCTGACACAGTTCTGACTACACAGCCACTCAGAGGCCAATTGACGTTACACATCATACCGTTTAATACCTTGTACCTATTGTAAACGTAAGCTTTCTTTAAACTAGTCAACATAATGCACAAATCAACAAAAGTATGAAAGCTTTATCAGCTATCCTTAGTTCAGCCATTTCGTGTATTTCACTATCAATACAAAAACCCCGCAGTCTCTTCTTTGGCAGCACGAGCAATTTGATGAAATATAGTTGAGATTAACTGTAAGTGAAGTGGTCGGGAAATGTGGAGGGATTAACGCAAGTTTGATGCATCTTGCCTAAATCTTCCAGAGGTCTGGATTGGCGCCCTACCCTGGGTTTAGCGGTACACTTCAGACTTGGTGTGTGTCGGTGTATGTGTGTGAGGGGGAGGGGTTTAAAACGCATACGGGTAAAGACCATACAGCACTGATTTTGCGGGCAGCACTGAAGTCAAAATACGGGGATCTGCCCCACGTCTCATGTAAAAGATGCCCAGCTGCGAAGCATCATTTGGCAACCCTATACCAACTAGCGAACAGCGAATATCGGCATACAGATTCAACGTACTGCTGCCAGCACGCACCCCTCCCCCAACCGACAATGACCTCTAAATTCAGTTCCCTTCACATACTGTGACTAAGAGTTTTGAAGGCCTACTACTCGCTTGCATTTGACCCTCCGAGTTTGCGCCCCCATTTTCTAAAAATCCTCAATCCGCCCTTGGCATAAATTTACGTCTACATAGAGGCTTTGCATGACAGCCATGATGCAGGGCAGTTCTTTTGGTCCACAGGGAAACCTCCTTTGCGCACACCTTGGGAGCAAAAGCACTAGCCTGCAACATGGCAGCTACGCAAACCCTCTGTGCGACCCTATTCTTTGTATTTGATTATCCCGGAAGGCGACAAGGCAAAGGTGTGAACACTTTAACTCACCGTCCCAGGCCGTTCCTGTGCATACATGTAATGGCAAAAAAATCATCCGACAAAATACTGACTTTAAAGTGTTTGCCTTCTTTTTCCCCCAACACAAACTCTGGGTATTATGCACATGACCTTTCCGTCTGCTTAAAGTCTCTTTGTTAGGCATTTTAGAAATAACTATTCACAGTTGTAATTAAAAATGTTTGTAAATATAGTTCTCACTTGTTTTAAATTTTGAATTCTTTTGTGGAAGCGGCTTTTTAAAACCACAGTAGATTTTTCACACGATAAAAGATGGATTCCTCCCCCCCTCACACATATACACAAAGAAAAAATGGCAGGTGAGGAATCAAGGAAGCAAGCCGGTTCGAGAAACTAGTTTATTTACTACTCGGTCTACTTTTGTCACAGAATTAAACAATGCGGCAAGAATTATTTCAGACAAGCAAGATATCACCCTGAATTCACTACCAGCCGGTTGCGAAATGGGGGGGGGGAGGCATGCCCCCCATTAGAAATCAGTGAATAATCTCTCAGCTCTGCAGCTGCAGCTTATTTTCTTGCGGTGCCCCCTTGATAACAATGTGTGTAACCCCTGGTTGCTTCACATTTACAGCTCTAGTCCACCACAGCTACGTGTCAGCGGAGGATCAAAATATGCCTGTTCCTCGCTCAATGGTCACAGCCATTGGGTGTCTTTCGGACCATAGAGGAAGGACACAGTTTGGACACTGACCAAGTTTGGAGACCACGCGTTTTCTCGCACAAAAGCATGTGACAGCACAGAAGCTGCGACTCATTCCTCGTCTAGCCAGAAACCCTGTCGGCGGCTACTCAAGTGAGCGTGGAGTATGATGCAACCGACACGCACTTTTAGAGTAATTGGCACTGATGTCATAAGGCCTGGGACATGGCTTGCTGGGGGCAGGGGGACACTACCCCTCTAGATTAAAAAAAAAGGAAGAAAAAGAAAATGGGGTAAAAAGAATGCCAAAAAACTACAGGCAAACAAAAAAGCCGTGTGAAAAACCGCCAAGTTACATGAAAATACCTATCTCTGCCTTCGCGTTCCCCTCCCCCAAATAAATCACGGTGAATTGGGACAACACATAGTGGAAATACACTCCTTGTTATGAAGCGACTAGATTGCTGTTTTTTATAACTCGACTCATGATATTAAAAACATCACTGACTGATAACCTTAAAAGCCATACATGTGGAAAGGTGCTTAATTACAGGTACATTCAATCCTTTGTCATTTGTGCATGATGTTCCTTTGAGGCAACAAAAGTGCTCAAAATCTACAGACAGTGCCTTCGAACACCTGTTGGCAACGCAGCCGTTTCACAATAGTGTGCCACCAAGAGTTTGCCACGCGTTGGCCAATCAAAATGCGCGAAAGTTGTCGACCCAATGCGCGTTTAGAAAGGGTCGACAAATTTCGAGCGTTGTGATTGGCCAACGCGTTACAACCTCTTGGAGGCGCCCTATTGTGAAACGGCCGTATTTATACCCAGCAAGAAATGAGACTGAGGAGTANTGACCAACACAAAGCAGGGGGGGGGGTTCTCTCCGTCTCATACCTTGTTGCATATGGCCGTATTCAGCGCAGCGAATTGCACCTGAATTCAGTGACTGGGACACGTTCAGTCACCTGCAGCCACCAGGTGTAAGGCGCTGAACCGACGGCTTCTAGTAACCGCACGCGCTGTCATGTCATGCTTCTAATGGCAATGGTCCAAAAATGCATCCTCACGCATATCGCAGGAAATGACTTTATTTCACTATTTTCTTCGCAATGACAGCTTGACAGAGAACAAATTCACATGGAGTTCCGTCCAGTAACTGTCATGAAACCAAGTGTGCTGTCCAACAATAAATTCGTCAGTTACTTTTTGATAACTACCAGTGGTGGTCTGTACCTTTAAAGCAGATTTCGCTGCATGTGATGAGAGCCTATCCATGGAAGTTTTTTCGGCTCCAAAATCACCACCCCCAATTTTGAATTCTTTTTTGGTAATAATAAATGTTTGACTTACATTTTTCTTTGTACTACGTTTTACTTATAAAGATGTAAATTCCAGACTCATATTCCTTCCTTTTTGAGGTTAAGATTACTTTTACAAAATCAGTATGACGTAGAATATAAGATTATTTGCTATGAAAAATCAAACCCTTAATCTTCATTACAAAAAAAATGGAAATTTCAATTCTAATTCTGCAGACCCTATGCGATCATTTCAAATGTACATGTACATGTAAAATGATCATTTTTCTACATCTCTTCATATACCCAGCAAGAAATGAGACCGAGGGGTACCCTCCCAACATGTCCAATCCCTATACACATTCCAGACTATTGTTACTTAACACATCCCCCAAGATGTCTGAAAGGAATTCCCCAGATCCCTGCGAGACAATGACCAACACAAAGCAGGGGGGGTTCTCTTCGTCTCATACCTTCCTGCATATGTGTCTTCACGTCCCCCTCGTCTATGATACTCTCCAATCATCTCCTGGTTTCCAATTTCCTTAATTTTGCATGATTTGTGCTTTTACTTTCTAATGTATGTTTAGTTTGTGGTTTTTCTGATCAAGAAAACATAGCTAGAAAAAAAAAATGGAACTTTTTTTGAGGTGAAACTTGCGTGACAGGAACACTGCTAGAGCACAGGGGCATCAAGAAGTTAATATAGTTTCCAGGCCCGGTGGGTGTGATTGCATAAACAACGCACCTGGGATCTATGTGGCTCAACTGACCTATACCTGTACTTTGAGTAAGAGATTACCACCACAAGACCAGTCACGAGACTGATTAAAAAAAAAAACCCAGCCCGGAATGTAAAAGACAGGCTTTTTGAGGCAGTTGATTTGAATAGCTTGTGACTTGTGAACTTTCGTCTGGTCTGTCTCTTCTGTACGGTGCAGTTCAAAAGATGCTACAGGCAACTGAGACATGCCTGCTGCCATGTTTAGATGCATGAATCTGTAGATTTTTGAAACAGACACTTTGACGACTTCAAATTTTTCACACTGGTAGTTTCCTTCCTCCACATCTTCCGACTAAACAGAGGAAAGTCTCTTTAGGAATTGCTTCTTGGAGATTATCGGCAGTCATTGTGTGCTAACGGATCGCTTCATCTACGCTGCACCAAGCTAAGCCGCTGAGCCAATTTTGAAGACAAAACAACTCTTTGCTGTCTAAAATAAAAGCAAAAAACAAGGACTAGGAATCCAGAAAGCTGTTACTGTTAAACTGTGGTGACAATATCTCCAGTGTCAACCTCAGCAGAGGAATCGCTGGGTGGACGGATGGCAATCACATCCATGCTCTGGAAGACAAAAAAAGACATAAAAATGGCTAAAGACTCTCAAATGAATACAGAGCTTTTTATGTGATGTGAAATGACCGGCAAAGGCATTTCAGAATGCCGACCAAGTCCTTGGAGGCACATGCATTTTCAAATCTGTGTATTTCTATCGGCAATTTTAACTACATGTATGTCAGAGTGTTGAGACAGTTTGAAGGCGAATATATTTGTTCACAAATCTGTGTAAATTAAATGCTGTCCGTCAAAAATCACACAACTGAAAATCCTCTGTACCAGTGATGTATTGAAGATTCCGTTCCAAGCGTTTTTCCCTAATAAGGCCTGTGAGAGGATTTTTATTCGGCAATGTATATTATGGGACTTTCCATTCCTCCAAAAAAAATGAAACTTATTTGACATCCCTTTTGGGTATTATCTTGTTGGAAATTGCACTTTTATACATAGAGAATTGCCATAGTTTGCCTAACAAATCAGTCACCGCTGCTGTGATGTCATTTCAGGAAGCAGCCGTCCATTGTACAGGTTTTCTGTTCAAATTGTGAACCCCTGGTTTGCTTTTATGTTGAAAATGATTTGGAGAAGACTTTGCTCGGTGGCCGAATGTCATCAACCAAATTATGAACAGAGCAGAAATTTGTACATATTTTTGTGCAAGAGTTCAATTCAGTTCACTTGTTCCGCTTATGCAGGAATATTTGGCCGAGTCCGGGCAGCTTGTTCTCGTATGTTCACGAACAGCTTGATTTGTTGTTCGTGGGTCGGCCGCTCGAACGCCGGCAACAAACAACCGGTTATTACAAGCAACATGAAACATGGCGGCGTCCATGTACGTTATTCGAGAGTTAAGGTTTGGATGGGCTGAGTTTTTTTCTTTATAAACAGGAACATTCATTTCTGTGTTTCGGAAAATAATTAATGTTAATTTTGCAAAACTTCCCATTGTCTACATGGTCTATGGCTTTGGAAGCCATCTCTCTACTTTTTCCAGCTGTTCAAAAATCAAAATCTCACGAGTTTTTCCGTGTGCTCCTGTAAAACCCTGACGAGGAGGTGGTGTGTGATCCTGTTCCGAGAACAATGTTCTTGAGTCGTGTTCCCGCCGTTCGAGCGCGAGAATGAGAAACCCGTGTCAAGAACAGGCCGCCCGAACTCGACCTGAATGTTCGGTACAGCGGTCGCGTCGTTCGGTATATAGCAAAATTAACTGCCGAACGAACGTTTCGTTGCCGTGTTGAATACCGCCCTCTCTTGTCTAACCGAAGTGCACCCTCTTGTGATACCTTGTTTTGCTGTTTTCGTGACGTTTTACCGTTGCATTCAAGTTCAAGGTTTCTAGAAATGCATCTATTAATTATTTTTGTTTTTTATTTAAACTTGAGTTACAAAACTGATACTTAGTTTATCCTTAATGTCGTGAAACTACCGCTCAGGATCGATCTCTGATGCATGCTGTGGCAAAAATCTCGGTTGATTTGCAACTGCACAATGTTTGGTAGGTTTTGTGCACAAAATATTGGGAGCCAAGGACAATGTTCAGTCCAGCCTAATGTTCGGTATAGCGACATTCCACTCTCCTACAAAACATACAGATGACTGAACACACATTATCGTACATGGCGAATGCCATCAGCATTAGATTTCCTTGGCAGAAGATCTATTTTTTATGATAAGCCAAGTGCGAGTTCCCAGGAACGGCTAATCAATCGTACAATAGTTTACCCATCCCCACGATACATTCTAAAACTAAAGAATTATGAAAAAATACTGTCACAAAAGCTTATTTGATGCTCCAAATCTACTAAAGAAAGGTTCATCTGCTCTCTGTCCTTTGTGCGTGTCACCATCTTCGATCTTGCAAACCCAGCTCCGTTAAAACGTGATCAAAAGCAACTACTGATGTGTTGGATCACCGATCGCAATCTTTATCTTGGCGAAATAAACCAGCCCAATGACAGTGAATGGAAAATTTGCTTCCGTGCAAAAACAATGCCAGAGCTTTGCTTACCGTCTCCTCGGCTCTACCCTTCTTCCCCTTAAACTTCCTCTGCAGCTGGCTGCTGCCCACGCCAATCAGGGGTGAGTCCGGCCCCGAGCTGGCTCCAGCCAGGAAGCGGTGACCCTTGACCCCCATCATCTCCTCATTGTGCAGGTCCGGGGAGGCCTCGCCGGCGCTGGAGGGCAAGTGGTGCCGGGCTTCCTTGGGGCTGGCCGGGGCATTGGCTGTGGGGGGTTGGATGGGGTGCTGTGTCCTCCGCCTCCCGCTGCCGGCTGAGATGAAAGAAGAGATGAGGGGTGGGGGTTAAGAGATGGGAGGGGGGGTGTCAATCCTAAAAGCTGTGTCATGCTGAAACAGGTAACTGCATGTACATTTGGTCAAAAGCTTATGGTAACGGTAATCCTTATTGGCCATGTCTGTTGTGGTCTCTGAAAATCTGAAAAAATTCAACTGAATGGCATACAAGTTTAGCATTTTATGGCTCATAACTTTCAGATTTGAGGAAGTCATTAGTTTACTAAAGATTTACTGAAAATATGGACAAGTCTGTTAGCCTTCATATAAATTTTTATCTTTAAAAGAAAAAGAATTTCGGCTTTCAAATAGGCTTGGGCTGAAAATTTAGGATTGCTTAACAGAAGCTGCATGTTTTTTCCTGTTTTGGCTTCAGATTTCATAAGGCAACTTGAAACTAAGACGTTTCTTTCCTTGCACCCATGAAAAATATAAATTTGGATATTTGATAATTGATTGAATATGTGAATATTCAGCACAGACCTAGCAGGCATCAACAGTGACTTTTGCAGTGCGTTAACTCAATTCCGTACTGTCGTGTTTTAGAGTCTGCAAATCTATTAGTATGTATCCTTTGTCTCTCCCCAAATGAATTCTTGGAACCTTGATCCAAAGGGGCAAACGAAACAATCACAAGGAGTAATGGGTTACCCAGTGCCTTGATAGGTACGTAGCGTCTGTACACGCTGTACTTGGTGGAACGGGGAATGCTGGGTGACACGGTTAAGCCAAGCGTGGCACGACGTTCAGCCAAGATCTCAACTACCTCACTGTTCAGCACGCAGAAGAAGACAAAGAAGAATGCGCCCTGAAATAAACCATCACCCCAAAAAATGTTGATTTCAGAAATACTATAAGAATCTTTATAGCCAAAGAGAAGGGTACCCTCTGCTAGGCATGGCAGACACAGTACGCAAACTATTAAGAAGCATGGTCAAAAGCCACTTTTATTCCACAACGGCTATCTCTTAATACTTCTAACTCTGAAGGTTGGTTCATACTCCAGACATATACGAAAGCGAGGCCAATCCGACGCCATGAAATGTCTGAAATGACATGAAATGTGTTGAACTTTTGCTTGAGTTCACTCTACAGGTTTGCAAGTTTCCACATTTTGAGCAGCGTTAACTTTTCATATCGAGATATAACTAAATAATTCAAGGGGTGAAGGATACAGAAAAATCAATATTCAAACGCACCCAGCATGAACAAAATATAGAGTGCACAAGAAACAGTCTCTAAGGGTCCTGACACAAGACCCCATCAAGACCAAGATTTTGAGTCTCCCAGTGAGACGCTTGTGAAGCACATGAGAACATTTGGGCCCTCCACGATGGCACTTTAGTGGCATCTATCTCTTTGTTTCGACGCACCATTCGGTCAATACACGGAGATCATTGATAGTCACCTGGAAAATGTTGAACATGGCAAAGAGAATCTGGGGGATGACGCTGAACATCAGGATGGACGTGATGGCAAAGGCCCAGGTGACCAACATTAACACACTCTGAATCCAACAGCCTTTGCAGTGGTTCCTGGAGAAGGGAGTCGATCAAAGGATACCAACGCGTGGCAATATCACCTCACCAACAGAAATAGCGCGGGGCAAGTTCTACTGACGGCTATGGTTAACTAAAAATTTGACCTATTAAAGTCAACCATTTGGAACCAGGCCCTAGGGTATGGTTGCACCGCTGGTTACAAACACTGAACAAACACTGAAAAAACACTGTACAAACTCTAGTATAGGTCTTTCCATTATGGCGAGAAAGAGACGAATATCAAGGATACTTCATTGTCGCAGGCACTTTGTCTCCTACTCTCACAGAAACTCCCCCCAGCACACCCTCCCTGAACACAGTCCTACGCTTTGTGGCAATGGAACAGTCCCCTCCTACTTTTATTTGCCTATAATCAGGACTTAGCATCCCCACGGTTGTGAGACCTCTGTCGTGTCAACTGCTGATTACGCATCCATACTTGTTCTTCTTTCGACAGTAACGTGACTGGTGAGACTTTGGTTTGATGCTTGGTGCATAACTTACTCACCCGACAACCTTATTGGCCTCCCTGTCTTTGGAATAGGAGCTCTCCATGATGGCTTTGCCGGTGTAGACAAGTACAAATACTGTCACCTGAAAGAACAAACAGAAATTATTCATGGGATCTACAAACATCTTATGTAAACAACTATTCATAAATACCTGAGACAGTTTAGCTATTCGTATTGGTTGAGAGCCGTCACGTGGCTGGTCTTAGAAATGGTTGAAGAAACACCGCTTGGCTGTGCGCCATCTCATGCAATATGCACCTACAGCACCAATCTCCATATAAGGAGATTGTTTATGATGTCTCACATGAGGCGCATAGACCTACCAAGTACCACCGGATCCGACTACCCACCACTGTTAATAAATGAGGCTTTAAAGCAAAATGCAACTGTTTGAAGTGTGCTGGTAATACATTATCTCTAACACTCCACAATCCTTCACCTGTTGGAGGACTGAGGAGTGTTAGGGTTAAAATAGGCCACTGAATTACCTAACAGATCCAGCATCATCATGTGGGGCATGAACACGAGCTGGTTTGCATAAAGTAATGCATAAGGGAAAGACAAGCACTGCGGACGTCCTTGGTTCGAATCCTACTGGGTGCTTTTTTTTTTTCTTCTTTTTTTTTCCAGTCATTTCCTGAGTTGGAAATGATATAAGTTTTGGAAAGGTTATTTAATTTGTACACTTGACGTTTGTTTTGTTCAAGGGGAGAAAAAAAATTCTCACTATTACATTATTGCCTTAAGCCTAACTAACTAGCATGGCATCCATATTAAATAATGTGATAATACATTACCGGCATGTTTAAAATGGTGGCATTTTGCTTTAAAGGCTTCGTTTATTAACAGTAGTGGATAGTAAGATGCAAGCACGTAACTGAATTGCTTAGCATGAACAGATTTCCAATCGAAATGTCATGAAACATATTGCCTGCAACTGGTTCCCAGCAAAGTCTACTTAGCACACAAATTGTGCAAAGCAATTTTTCAACTGAGCACCCTTGCAAAGTGGGCCAGATGTCAAACATAACCTGAACGTTTTGGGTCGACAGCAACTTGTGGCTTGATGAATCAATTCTTACCACCCAAAGTCCAATAGCTGGGCCAATCAAGAACCATATATGGTTGGTATCCAGGAGACACCTGTAAATGACATTAAAAATCAGTGACCAAAATCAAGGACAAAGTGGGCATGTGACAGTGAAGAAATGATTGATATCCTGATTTATGCTTTTTCTGCCTTCATTCAAAATGTACATTAATCTGTTACTGAAAAAAGTTAGGAGTTAGTTCTTCCTTTGTCAGACTTTGACTTTTTTTTGAAAGAATTTCTGACAAAAAGTCCTTTTCAGTAATGGCACAACTTCATTTTAAATTTACAGGCTTTTCCACGAATCTCATGTCAACGCGTCACGTGACAAGTTGACAACATAAGCCATGGAGGCATGCACACATAAAAAAGGTTACTATAACATGAAAAAATAAGGTGATTGCTTCCGATCCCAGTTTTAAACCTTAATTTAATTTGATTTTCACTTTCTACAAAATTTATGTGTTACCACCGAGCACTTCCGTGAACTTTCCAGAGCAACTTTTAATAGGAAAATATGCAATTAACTTCTAATGCAAATAACCAGGACAGCAAAAATTAGGAATGATTCCTAGATGTGTCCTGGCCCTGTTTTCTGGTCATTAAAAAGGATGGTGCACTCACACGTCAGACGAAAAATAAGTGTCCCATTTTATTTTGACAACAGCACCGACAAGGACAGCAGGGAACACTGTAAGAAAGTGATACAGGAAAACTGACATGAATATATTGCAATGAGTGTCGTATCTTGGTAAGACATAAAACTTGATATCTGGATTCTATCCATGGACTTCTCTTTGGAATGAGCGAGTTCTTCATTCAGACAGCTCATGCTCAAAATGAAGTATGTCGTTGGTCATTTGAGAACGTCAATTTGCATGCGCAAGGTTGGGACTTGCACTTTACACTAATGCTAAATGAACATGTCACATTTCGCTGTCATGGTTCTGCTGCAAACTCTCCGGACGAGAGGCAACGCATTTCAATTTGAGCAAATTGTAATGACAGCTGCTTCTAGATGTCAACTGCACCCTGACTCAACATCCAGGTAAAATTTCAACCTGGTTTAAGACTGAAATTAACAGGACTATAAGAAATAATGATGCAATTACTGAAGTGCCATGCAAATCGTTTCAAACTGAAACTTAATGTGGTAAAAATTCTGATGGGGGGGGTCTTCGGGTCGACGGTTTTCCGTACCATATCCTATGATGTAGTATCTCAGCATGTTGCGCTGTTGCTGGGTGTCGGCATGGATGGTGTTGACCACCTCCATGTACAGGTTGAATGCCTCGTTGCAGATCCACGCAAAGGTGGAGAGGAAGAAGAAGTGAATGGCGATGGCAAACACTTTGCAGACGGTCTGGATAATGTCGAGACGGGAGGGTGGGATAGACGTGACTTTGACATGAGCTTTCATGAAAGTGGTTGACTTCAATGACCCAGTTCGGTAATCCAAATGCGCACACAAAAAATGAAGTGCGTGTAAGGTCGCTAAGGAACGGCAATACATGTGCCGGGTCTGCCCCACGAGTGCGACCACATGCCGACTCGCATGCATGCTTTGTTCTCGAATGACCTCGCTTTTTGAAATACCAAACTGGCTTACATTTGGTCTGGCGATGTGAAAACCTTGCAAGTGATGGACTTTCAACATGCCCTTTCTCTACAATAAGTCACTTCTATTTGCTGATCCAGGGACAAAAATACCGAGAACGATAATTGAGATTATTTAAAAAGAATTTCATATTTGTTTAGTCCCTCCGAAAAAAAAACCCTTTCACTACAACTGGTTCTGGGGCAAAAGAAAAACTAACACTTCAATGAGCGGTCCAAATCGGCACCTCTGTACATATAGCTGCAGCTTTTCCTCTGGAGCTAATTTCCTTCTCATCATCCAACCAAAGAATTCTCAAACCTGTCAAATTTGAAAGATCTACCGACGCGCTCACTCATTTCTTGGGTGAAGAAAAAGATAAAAGCTGTGCCGAGTTGTCCCAAAATTGAAAGTCTAGATATACTAGTGACAGAAGTGCACTTGCAATAGACCGCTTTTGGTGAATCACCACGCCTTTTGGGAAACCTTTTTTTTTTCCCAAAATTTTTCTGAACCCAATTCAAGCTGAAAGTTGGTCTTTAAGTCATGATGCTGTTTTCTTTTAATGAGTGAGTACCGCAAGAGAAGTTCTTAAGTTCTGGTTTGTCAATCCATCTATGAACAACTTCACAGTATGCCTGCACGAGAGATGGAGCCACCTGAACGCTTTCCGTATTTTAATAATTTACGCTCAAAACTGCATGAGTTCAAACTCATGTAATGATCTCAACATAAACTAGGTGCCTGCTACAAAACTATCCAACAAAGAAAAAAAATCAAATATTGTGATATTCCACCAGATCTGAAAAGACTAAATGTGCCAATGTAAAATATCAGAACAGATGAATTTACCTCGTTTTCATCACGGGTGATTCCAATAAAATAGCATAGCTGAAGACAAATCATGGATAGGCCCAGGTTACGATGCACAGCCACGGTATCCGTTTCACACCTAGAGAGACGATAAAGATTTGACAAATTGACGAGGAAAACTCCACATGACGGGAAAAAGATTACAAATAAAGGAAGAACATGATTTTCCAGTATTTTCTTAAAAATGAAACACAGTAATCTTTTAAATTTTCTTTCATCGCTGAAGCCGGCTTAACAACTCACAGTTGTTGATTAAATCTGCTCAAGAATGCCGATGGAACTTAATTACCTGAGGTAAATGAAGACAGCCATGGAGGTTGTGAAGAGACTTAGGGAGACAAGGATACCGATGTAAGACGCAACCGTCAGGTAGAAGTGAGGGGGCTCCCCTGGGTCCCACTGACAACAGTAAAATGTGGTACAGGCTGTAAACGGTTGTGCTTAAGGAGGCTATTCTTGAAAATGCACCATTGGGTTTCATTTCACCCTATTTCCAGTTTTTGTTTTGTGCCTTTTTTGGTTTTTCTCAAATTCCCCCAAAACATTCTGAACTTTATAAACATTTAAAACTTAAGAAAGTGTTTTATCTTCAAAATTCAAGAAGTGCTCTGTCAGCTGCATCAACCTTTTCACTCACTCTGTGTCTGAATAGACCAAGTATGTCACTGCTTAAATTTCTTCTAAGTAAGCCCACAACGAGTGCGTAAGAGGTTCCCAGAAGATTTGCACACAATGACACTACTCTAGAAAGACCAAGTCAGCATTTTTTTTAATGGATTGAACTTTAAGGGAGTCAAAATTGATCAATCCTGTCATGGTTCTGCAAATGTTATTTAAAAAACCTCAACTTCTCTTATGAAGCACGATCACAATTTTCTACAAACGACTGAAAATAGTTGACACCAAAGGGTTGCTATTAAATTCCAACAAAGCTGGCCCTTCCAGCCAGATGGACGCCTTCTCAAGCACTGCAATAATTTGGATAACTTGAAGATCCAGTGGTGTTGACAGAGTTTCATCCACTGCGAACTTACGTTGACATCGTACATGTCCGTGGTTATTGCAAAGGTGCCAAGATGGCTGCAGCTGCACTGGGCATGCTCACCGTCGCTCTCTGTCACCTCACAGCCCATCCCCATCCATTCCCAGTCATTGGGACTGCAGGGACAGACGTCAAAGATACGAAAGGATTGAAATCAACAATTTTGTCTCAAATGAGGCATTTAGTTTGCTCTGGAGATTCAATTCTTGCTCTTTCAAAGTCTCCCTAATCAAGCAATGTATGCGACTGCCCCATCTCTCAGCCTTTCTAGAAATCTGCTCTTATTCAAATTTTCTGTATACAATGTATGATGATGAAAAGCAGAAAGCAAGAAGACAAACATTCAAATAGATTGAGGCTGATCTTTGGCGAAGTTTTCCAAAAATACTACACATCCATGTGTAGTATTTTGGATATCCAAACCTATTTGTACTGCACCAGTATTGGTTGAGGATGAAGCTACGAGTACATGGATTTCTTTGCACCAGAAGGATTTTAAGACTGATCGTGGCCAAACGGTCTAAGAATGGTGTATATAATTTAAGAAGTTACATATTCAGAGTGCTCAGGAAATGGAAAGTATCTGTGACTCGGCCTGCTAATGAAGTAAGATACAAATCAAAGTCCGGTACAAGATTGCTGTTACACGAGTTTTGTTTCTCTCAAATTGAACAAGCAATGCTGAATATGACATGGCCTATACAGAAGAAAGTCAGAGAAACTAGACCGCATGGTCTGTGATCTCTGCGGCCAGTGTAAGACCACAAAATTTCGATGAAAATATACGATGAATGTTTCTTGAGTTTATGCTGACGGACAAAGTCCATGATTCTCACTTCCATACCGCTGACAAGTTGTGAACCCTAACATCTGTAATTTCTCTTCATGAAAATATCCAATGAACATAAGCTCGATTCCTCCAACGTTGATTCCACTTTTTAAGTTTTCACTATACACAGGAACTCGGAAAAGGACTTGTTAAACAGCAGAAGTTCTTTTGCAGTTGTTTCTTAGCATTACTACTTGTTCTGTGGGTACTTACGTGGGATTCGTCGCTAGCGTCACACACTCTGGGTTGGAAATATTCATCGTCTACAGCACAATCCCAAATTCATTGATTTCTCATTAAAACCAGTCTAAGTGTTTCCACTTTTCTGACAGTTAGGTACGTAGGAGCGATCCCAACTTATTAATTAAAAGTTGATATTCCCTTTCCAACACTTTGCAGAAGTTCCAGATAAAGTTGAATTTCAAAGCATATGTAAACCATTCATGTTTGCAATTAAACCACCCTTTGCAATGCTAATAATTTGCCTCTTTGGATTGTGGCAGATAATAAAGACATCTCTGAGTGGTGAGATGTCTGGGTGAAAAATCTTTTCATCGTTTAGGAGGAATGATGGAAATAGAATTTGGGGGAAAGGGGACGTCAAGGAAATTTTCTAAGGAGGTAAGTTTTCTAAGGAGGTAACCGTAAGTCCACTTTTCAAACACTGAATAAAAATAAAACAACAGCAGATGAAAATGACAAAGTAACTTAATGGAAGCATTTTCAAAGTAAACAGCGTGAAAAAGGGCTAACTGGAATTTGGGTAAAAACTGACGGGGGTGGAGTTGGAGTTGGGGTGGGGGTTACCCCTTTCCACTGTAGGGCCACGATTGCTCTAAAGGGACATTAAAATGGTGTCAATTCAAGAGCCTTTGGAATTGACGTCTGTGATATGTGACGCTTTATGCCCCACTTTGATACTGCTCAACCAGGCTTTTCTAAATGGGCACTCACCGTTTTATATTTCATGACATAGCTGATTGGGTCAGACGTGTTCGTGAAGACGATGCTGTCATCCTTGAGATGTACCCTGGTTGTTATGATGACGCTGTTCACGTTATCCTCCTTGTGCAAATGTTCCTTGGCTTTGTCGCGGTAGAACTTGACTACAATTGGCCTGTGTTTTAGAATGGAGTCACCCAAGCCAAAATAAGTACTTGATTTTCTCTACAGTATCGTGATTCCTGGGGAGACTATATTCAGTTGTGTTTTGAGAGAATTTTGCATAAGTTTTAAATTCTTAAAAAGGATAATACATGCTTTAAAAAGGTAATTTTTAAGGATGCCACACAATAATTTAAGGGATCAACACGTAACCATAACATTTAGGTGGAAACATGAAAAAAATACTTGACCGTCATACAAGGATGCTTTTCTCTCGTGCAAATACACAACTTTGTGCACATTCTGTCAAAAATATTTCCATGCATTCTGTGCCTTTTCTGGAAAGGTCTCAACTTTGACTAGTGTTGACCACGATGGACGAATTGTTCCCAACTGTCACAGTCTTCGTAAAGTCCTCACAGCGCCCTCTATCTATCAGGCGCAGGGCTAATGACCCCAAGGAACCCAGTAAAAAGGACAATATTTGGACATGCTCATTCACTTTTTTTTTTCTCAACACTTACTCTGGGTGATTGGGCAGGTACTCTGGCAAAGTGCTGTTGTATCTGGTATAGGAAATGACCACATTCTCTGCGGGGAAGAAACGGGAGAAATTCGGGTGCCTGCATTAACTTGGTAATACCAGCAGCACAAATGAAGGTTAACACTTTTATAATTTGTATCAACTACTGAACAATGTCAAAACAACACTTATTTGTATCTTTATCTCGTAGGTTTAATGCTGTTACTTCCCAGAGTAAATTTATCAATTGTTTCCTTTCAACAACTGTCTGCTAAACAAGGACAAGTATCACCAGTCAGAAAAATACACTTCTACTTCTTAAATTGAGCTTTGGAGAAACTATTTTTGGTTGAGTTTTGTATTTGCAGATATATTTAAGTAAGACAAGAGAAAATGTCCAATTCAGCCAACCCTGGTAAAACCTCATCAGTGGTTGAGGGGTGAGACATATGCGCTGGACTGGGGGGCTAATAGGGGTTTGAATCCTGACCAGGTTAGCTTGCGGATTTGTGTGTTTTCGACCCGGTTTCTCGGAAAACCCTCGGCATACACAGCCTGAAGAAGTTTATCAATGGTCTTGTTACCTGGCCAGCCGTTTTCCGGCATTTCTTCGAAGAGTGTCTCAGGAATATCCACATAGCCATTCTCGTCATTCAATGAGGCCATTCCTGGGGTGCTGTCTGGTAACACCAGGCCCTCAAAGTTCTCAGGCTGTACAACTCGTACGTGAAATGCTGGGGAATGATTGTAGTAATCTGAAAAATCATCTCCAGTCTCAAGTTATAAAAAATCCTAGATTGTAATGAAATACTCTTTCAGTTCTATTAGGAAAAACATGAAAATGGTCAGTACATGTAAAATGAGCTGGTGCCTTTGATATATGAGTAAATCCAGAAATTAGGGGTGCAGAAGTGTGACATTTTTGTGTCCCTGTTATATCTGACCTCTGTTACTGGACATGGACGTATCACTGGAATTGATTTCAAACTACAGTGTATTACTATTTCTTTGGCAGGTAATTTGCACTAATTCATCACTCTTGGATATCAGAAAATGTGTTCCGAACTTATGTTCAGATGTGACAGGGACACGAAAAAAAATGGGCCCCGAATTTCTGGAATCACCCAGATGATTCCTGGTTACCCATGCTTTGCGTATGTACGCATACCACTGACAATAAAGGTATAAAGGCATGCCAATACCCATGTATGTACAGCACTCTTGAATGTGCACCAGATCTTCAGTAAAAACCACTAAACTAGACTGCATCTAAAACATATGGTCACGACTGCAAATAATACATGTAAATAATAATAAAATGTACTGGCTATAAGCCATTTCCCAAAGACATTGAGACTATCCATGCCTGTTTTGGACATAACTGTTTTTATCCAGGCAATTAAACTTCAGGCTAGTCTGGCGCCTCATGAGGTCACATATCACGCCTGATCTCCAGTATGTGCTTGGGCAACCAGACAGAGACCTGCTTCAGGTGAGGTCCTTGTTCTAAGCAATGAGAACGCTAATCAGAGTGGTCCTGTGCCCTGTGAACAATCATTCTACTCTGTATGTCCTTGGATTGCCTTTAAGGGCATAACAAAGATGTCTGGTATCACTCAGCACAGGGGCGTGACGACATACAGCAACGTGTGTCACAACAGGTCTTTACAAACACAAATTTTTGAAGTTATGTTGACTTTTATGCATTCTTTGCATTAATACACCAATGCATCGCTACAATTCAATCTCTGTAAAGACATTTGACCTTCTTACCGAAATTGGCACCAGTGTGAGTCCACATGGCATTGTTGCCAATCTCGGACCCGCCAGGCTTGGCATGCAGGAGGAGGCCGTTGGCCATCAGGTCGGCAAAATCCTGGATGGCCTGGAGGACCCTAACGGCCCCCGCCCCTCGTGGGGCGGTTCCACGCCACGCTGGGTGGTTCCTCTCGTCCAGAATAATGTCAAAAATGTTGCAAGCAACCTAGCCAAAAGCAAATGAAACAGAAGAACCATTTCACCATGGCTACATGCCATAGAAAGCTGTGCTAAATGACCACACTGTACACCAAAGATCGCATAGTGCTGAAGGCGCAAGATGGATAACTCTGTCCAAAGGGTGTAATTACCATGGGCGCCATTTGAGCAAGCGATACGCCTGCACAGTTTACGGTAATGCTTAGGTGCAGGCTCACCAGGTCACGTGCCTGCCACGGCGCCTGCGCCTTTGCATTACTGTGCATTGCACAAGCGTATCGCTTGCTCAAATGGCGCCCATGCAATTACAACATTTTACGTGTATTCACTGTGAAGTTCGCCATCTTGCGCCGCTTTGCGCCGCTATACGATCTTTGCTGCACACAACAGTTAGAATTCAATGTGCGAAAATATACCTACTGTCACTCTTATGTAACCTCATCTAGTCTTTAGCATTTCCTTTTATCGTATGTTTGGGATAGGGTTGTACCGAATATTCAATCGATTTTCAAATATTCAAATATTATTTTTTGAATTGGAGTATTGGAATGCAAAATTCATGAAAGGGATGGGAAACTTTTCTTTTTAATGAGAAAAATTGCACCATGGAGGCTTGTTCCAAGCAGATTCAAATGAAATGCATTAGAAATCTGAGTAAATTATTCATTAATACAATTAAAATTTTCAACAGGGCAAGGAGTCTTGTTCATCTCTTAAATCTTGCTAAATCGTGACTGGAGGTACTCCTAGATGTGAGAAGCTATTATATTGATCATAATGTACAATTGTGTGTGCTATTGCAACTGATTTTGTATATTGCTTGTTCATCAACAATCTGCCGGTCGGTGCGACCGAATATTGGGTCAAACTGAAGGTCAAATATTTGACTAGTAAATCATTCTGTCAAACTGAAGGTCGAATATTTGAATAGTAAATCATTCGAATTGACTCAGCCCTAGTTTGAGACATTCAAATGAACAACATAATTCTGAAGCTATGGATACCCATTAACATGTTCTGACAGTCCCAAAACTTAAAGCTGTTAAAATAAGCAATGCAACAAAACAGATGGTGTTAACGGAAATCTCTTTTAATACAAAGTTGAACATCTGCTGATATATAGTCTCAGCTGTCAAACTGAGCAAACTGCAAAGGACTTTTTAAAAAAAAAAATGTCAACCGGATAGAAAGGCAAATCAAGATGCTCCTGTAACTGACTTGTTTCACGGACAAGCTGAGGAAAAGGGTCACCAAGGAAAGGTACCGTAGCAAAGTGAAAGATGTCTTCCGTGGTAGGGCGGCCCTGCGCGTCCGTCAGGCCAGCCCACTGCCCTTCTCCCTCCAGACCCAAGGTGGCGTTCTGCATCGCCACCAGCATACGGACCCCGTAGACGTCGGCTGTGATGTCGGCCGGATTGGACCGGTAAGGGATGGCGTTGCGGTGCAGCTCCTCCAGCAGGGTCAGGATCTTGGACCGGTTGTACGCGAGGCCCTGGGAGATGTTGCTGTACAGGCTTCCGATCTGCAGCAAAAACATGTAGGCTACTGAAAGGCTGCCAGTGACAATGTTGCAGAACTCAATCAAGTCCGGACTAGAGTCCACTATTTGATGGACTCGGACACTCAATAAATAAACTGAAAATACAAAAAAAGAGAAAATGAATGGAAAACTTAATACTTCAGTATCATTTCCAACCTTTGAAATCCTCATCCTAAAAACACTCTTTCGGCAAGAAACGAGACTGATGCTTTTCTCCTTTTTGTTGTTCTAATGAAACTTCTGATTCCTTGTGAAACATTGGGAGATTTCATTATGGTAAAGGGGTTGTTACAAATAACTACTGTGATACTATAAACACATGGGTTTTGTTTTTATTTACAATTACTGATCATGAATGGGACCCAATTTCTGCGTTCTGTGTACCCGATACATGTGCATTCAGTATTTGCGTCCTTCTTTAAATATATGAGAACATTAGGTTTGTGAAGGACTTGGACTCAGACATGAACCAGAAGGATGTGGACTTGGACTTTAAATGTGGTGGACTCAACCGGTCATTGGTCCCACACTTTAATACAGGCCACCCTGGGTCAGGAATGCCATACACACCCACATGCATCATGCAGGCATCACGCAAGGTTTAAATGCCTTTGAAGTTGGAAACATCTCAGAGTATTAACAGGAAGTCAGGTTTATATGCTGACAATTCTGCACGCCAACAATCAAAATTCTGTATGGTTCTGAATTTTTTCGGCCCTTTCCGATGCTATTCATCTAATGGGTGCACTGATGTTCCCAAACAATTGTGGACGTTAAACAAAAGAATTACTGACCGTCTACGATTCCTGATACGTCCACGATTGTCAAACGTGTACAAAACATATGAGAGGCCTTCCAAAAAAGTTAAAATATGAACAAAAGAGGACAATAGGAACGTCCACGATTGCCCCAAAAAACAAGTTTACCTGTGTGTGCATGTGTGTGGGAGGAAGCTTTCTTTACCTTATCCTGTAAGAGACGGACGTCTTCAGACAGACACTCTGTGACATCTGCCTCTCCCCACTCGGCCCTGTCTGCCTCCTCCCATGTGATGCCGTCCCCGAGACAAGGGCGACTGCCTTGCGACACTGCGAATAGAGGAGTACCAAGACCCTAATGAGAACCCGAGCTTCAGTCTGGCGGGTCTCGAGGCAACGCGCAAGCAACATTGCTGAACAACTGCCAGCATCTTGAAACAGAGGATGACTATTGGCAAGTTGACACCTTCCTGACAAAATTTTTTCCCAGGATGCAAGGTGTGTCTCCGTCAGTTTTACAACACCAGGAATTTCTACCCGCGTTTCAGAAAATCTCAAAAACGGCTGCATCGTAACTGACCTCAACGGAACACTGCCATTATTCTGTCTGAAAGTGACAATATTTCTTTGCACTTTTATTGAGGATTCACTTCACTAAATTTAGTACAGACTCTTTGGCTATTTGAGTTAAAACAATTTAGAGCAACTGAATGCAGAGCTATTTTGGGCAAAATGCAGTCACCATCTAAAATGCCCTCTGATGTACATACTGCCAGCAAAGGACTTTTGCAGACACAAGACCAGACACAAGACCATGCACAAACCAGTCACAAGTAACAGTGTGAACAATGACAAAGGAATGCTCGTTAGAGTTGAGTTAAAAAGCTTGAGACTTGAATTCAGACTGAAGGCCTTGTGTTGGTCTTGTGTGGTCTTGTGAAGGTTTGTTTTGTACAATTATTAACTTGGAGCACAGTTGAAAGTGCATGGATGTAGACCCCCCACACAACTTAGCGCAACCAATCCTAGACTAACAAACTTACAGCTTGCAGACAGCTTTTGCTACGACTTCCATTGTTTGTCAAATGAACTCACCGTCAGTGTCTTGGCTTGTGCCGTCGTTGTCAACCGGAGGCGTACTGGAATCCCCCGGACAGGGCATGTAGGATGTTTCACCCACTGGGGTACGGGGCCACTCAATGTTCTCTGCAAACTCTTGCTGGCACTGCGGACCTGCCAATGCCCCCGAATCAAAACATTAATCCAATCCTGTACTGTTTTTTTTCCCTTGGATGAATGACATCCTTCCTCGGATCTGAAAATGGCCCATGTATATTTTCATTATGCCATTAACATTAATCTGCTGACCACAGCTGAAAAGAATTTTCAGAAAATAATTTTGGTATGATGTCACACGCGAAACTGACCTTAATGTGACCCCTCACCCAAAGCGGCAAACTTAAAAAGAAAAAAAATGAAAAATTTTCAACTGGGGTCAGTAGATTAATATTAATGGCATAAAGGAAATATACACTGACCATTTTCAGAGGCCCAGGAAGGATATCAATCATAGGATTTGCCCGTTTTTTTGTAATACATGTAACGGAGAATGGCCCTCCATCAAGCACCCATGGGTATTTCCAGGCAACCAACATGACATAAAACTGGATATGTCAACAGTTAATTGAAGAAATGTAGATACAAACTAAGAGTATTACTTACAAGTTGCAAAACAAATGTAATGCAGTCTGCAACAAACATCACAAGAGACTCTATTATACATTTTCTTGGTAGCTGACGTGTTCAACAGAACTGCACGGCTGAGAATGACCCATCCACATGAACTTCAAAGTTCCACTCAAGAAAGTCTTCAGTGCTGGTATTTTCTCTTCGTGTAAGGAATGTCATTCACGGTTGAGTATGATCCAAGACATCAAGCTCACTCACCAATAGTTTCAGTGCAGTAAGTGTCGCAGCCTTCTGCTTTGTCTCGAATGCACGATTCTGAAACAGAGAACAGCCCCAGTTTAAATCCTGCATTGGGGGAACAGCACGCATAAAAGACTTGCAGGAAAATCCTGAACAATTATGTTTGAGGCATATGGCAATTAAACTGTTAAAGGCTGCGTCCACACGTGGCTTCCAAGGCTACGGCTATGTCTATTCTGGGTGCATCTCTGTATATTTCAAATGGAGTGAAGGCCTAGACCTGGCTCTAAACGACAGCTTCGGATGCAGCCGAAGAAGTACTTATTTTGACTTCAAAAGAAGTGAATCTTTTGTGAATCTCCCGTATCGTTAGGGGTTCTGAGTTGCCAAATCAAAGAAGACTTGTGATTGGATGATTATATTCACCCGTGAAGTGGTCCACATGGATCGAGCCTGGCTTAAGAAAGGAACTCAGCATACATGCAAAACGTGACCAGTATCCATCAAACCGTAGGAGAGTAGGAAACTTATAAGGTGCCTGTCCTTTGCCAGTAAGCAGTTGTACAAAAACTGGGAAGAAATCTCCATTTGGACCCACTCACCGAAGACTCCCGAGGGCCAACGCAGCTTCAGCTCCCCCCGGGTGCCCGTCCGGAAGTCCACCCATTCCGTCACGTCGCCACAGTAGGTGAAGGTGCAGTCTTGGTGCATGTCCGCAATGTGGTCGTCCGCCAGCGCACTGCTCCACATGTTGAAGTAGCTGACGTCCCCCTTGAACGACACGCTGTGGTCAAAGGTGGCGTTGGCGGCTGTGTCGCCGAAGTCGGCGCCAGCATCAGGACGGCCCGCAGATTCGAGGTTGTGGCTGCGACGGACACCGATCTCTAGTCGGCCGCCGGCTCGGATTGTCTCCCCCGGGGCCAGGCCACCTGCTGTGGCCGCAAGGCGTCCGTCCACAAACAATGCCCACACACCACCTATCGGTAAAAACCAAACCGTCCATGATTATATCACTACATCATACTTGTTAGAATCAAGTTAGAAGTAACAAAACGTCATAGGCTTAGGTCTGCAATTATGATTCATCATTCATCACACTTAAAACATGAAATTCTCCCCAACTGCAGTCATTTCATAATCATTACATATAATGAAACAAATATATAAATAGTCCTAAAAGGGAAAGTATTCAAGTACAAGGGATAGGTCTGGGAGTATTTTGGTTGTAGCAGCATGAAATGTGTTTAAATCTGAAATGACTTGTCATATGTTGGCTTTCTTGTAAACTTTCCTTTCTTGCTTTTATTGATTGGTGATTGTTTGTTTGTTTGTTTGTTTGTTTGTATTTGGCAATACCCATACAGATTACAAATGATCATACACAAACAACTGAATTAACTCAAACAAAATAAAAAGAACTACATGTAAGTCCAGGGCATTGTTGAGGATAGCACAGAGAAGCTAGAAATAGCTTATTTCCATTGCGGTCCTCATTTCCATTGCTTGATTACTTCCCAATAATCTCAACACCAAGTATAATGCACTGAGGGATGTAGTGTCCCATTGGCAAAAACCCTGCCTATTACTTATCTGACTCAAACACTGCTTGAATAGATGACCCTAAATAAACTAAAATCTGACAGCGTTCAGTTCCTTCTGAGGCTGCATCCAACATGTTTCTCACCCGCTGATGTCCACGTGCAGGCAACGTGCAGCCATTTGTCATGGGGCAGGCCTCGCCTCAGCCGCACGCTCGACTCCTGCCCCCGAATCCGTACGGTGAAGAAGCCCGCCCCGATGCTCAGCCACAGCTCCTCGGTCTTCTTGCTGGGGAAGCCGTAGGCCAGGATGGTGCCATTCCTCCCGTCGTAGTCGGCCGAGTTGAGCCGCAGCCATAGGCCCACTGTGAAGGCCTGGAGGGCGGGAAAGTTCTTGCCCAGCAGGACGGCGTAACTGTCGGCCTCGCTGTCGCTGTACTCGAGACGAGAGTCCACAGAACGCGCTGCAATTTAAAAAAAAAACCAAAGAAGCGACATTGGAACCCAAGCTTACAGAGTTCATTCTGATATTGTGAAGAGTAACCCTGAGCACTAATGTCTTGGACAACACTAGTCGGTCAACTGGTTAATTGCCTCTGATCAATCTTGTTTACATGCCTCATGACCTCGTTTATAACAAGATAGCCAAGTCCGCTAAACCAATACTAATTTGTTTAAATGATACTAAATAATATAACAAGATTGAATGATAGAGGTAAATTGTATAGTTTTAATGAGATACATGATAAATAAATCAACAATGCTTTGCTTTTGGTGCCACTTCACCAATTCGAAAGGGGTGGGCAGGTGGGAGTTGAAACTTCTGAAGGGCACGTGACCCCATGGGAAAAAGGAGGGAAGTTTTTTTTTTCTTCTTGGCATGGTTGGGGACATCGGCCAATCTGCAAAACCATGGAGGGAGCCATAGGACTATAATGTGGCATATGCCACATACTATTACTAGACCCGTAAACAGGGCCCGACAAATACTCCTCCGTCGTTACTGGGCCCTGTCCCGATTCAGAGGGATTTCTTTCAAAACATTTTCTCCGGGATATGTGGGGGCATCTACTTGATTTTTATGAGCTGAAATTGCACTGATATGTTCACTACTTACGGGGTAAACTATCCGCTAGGTTGCTAATTGTAGAAAACTTGCCTTTTTTGCCGTTTTCCCAGTGTTGCGACAGATAAGAGACACATTATTGTAACGGGGAGCCACTACAGCCTATGGGGCTAGACCGGTGACCATCAAGTAACCATAACCAGTAACAGATCAAAAGAAAATGGAGGCTTTATGGGAAAGTCAATCTGTCTGGGTGTCACCTAACGAAAGAATGACTTTTTTCTACAACTGCGCTCATGTTCACAGTATCCATGCCACAGAGCGATCAGGGCACTTGGCGACACGCTGGACGCCGCCATAATGCTAGTATTAACTTGGGACAAGAGAGGGCGCGCTGCATGTAAACAAACTGCTTTACAAAAGAAAATAATTATTGCTCTGTGTTGTAGAAACTGTACCGTTTTTTCTCCGTGCACCGCAATTGCACTTCTCTAATGAAAGGTAATAATTATTTATACGTACAGATACACTGCTTGCTGTTCCACTCGAACCCAGCACCACACTCGCAGTAGTAAGCACCTGGGGTGTTCAAACATTTTGGCGTCTTGTAGAAATTCGGATTACACTGCCCACTGAAATGACCTGAAATGGGAAATAAAAATCAAGAGTTTCGCCCGTCTTCTCGGACTAAAAACGACATTTCGACACGACAACAATTTTTCTAGAGAGATGTCGGAAACACAATGAACGAAGGTTAGCAACGAAAGTAAAAAGAACTCTCATTCAAGTTGAAATTATTGGCGACGAGGCATTGGCAGCAAAATTTGCTCAACCTTTGGGCCAACAACACAAAAATTAAACACGCAAAGTTTGACTCTATTAAAAATATAGCCTACTGAAACGAAATCCTTTTAAACTAGAAATTCGCCAGGTAGCACACACAAAATAATGTTTACTGTCAAAAGAAAGAATTATAGTTACCACCCGCCAAACCAGATTCTGGCATTTATTCCCTGAAAAATAACTTATAATTCATTTGATCTTCTTATAGGTGAATTTATGGATTCAACGGATAATCATATAACAGTAATAAAATATTCCCAATTAAATGTAGTCAAACGACTTTATTGGCCGCATCGCACGCTCTAACTAGTGGTTCAATCAATTAAAAAAGATTTTTCATCCTCATTTACTTTTAGTCGGCACCCTTGAGAGCCAGTACTAGCATTTATACAGCATAACCAGTAAAAATTACACATCATAAAAGTCAGGGAAATACATAGGCACGGCTGACATGGGGTACGGGGTACCAGTAAGCCGGCTTTGGCAACAGCACACGAGTTGCATTTTGAGCTAATCTTGGCACTCGAATGAGTAACTAAATCAACTCAAAAAGACATGAGATTTGAAGCTTTTCATGGTGGAGGTAGCAAGTAAACTAGATTTACGGTTTGCGGTAGCACTATAGATATCTTTTTTTTTAGTATTTGGGGTTCTGAAAGAGCCGATGGTACTCAAACGTTTTGGACATGAACTATGCCCCAACCCCCAGCACTTACCCATTGGAGAGGTCATCCAATGCACCGAACCAGCTATCCGCCTTCTCGGCATGTCTACAGCCAACAAGATATCAACCAAGCCATCCGGAAACACAATCCTGGCAAGCCCAATTTCTCAAATTAAGACCGGTCAGCCATCACATCGCTACGCCGCGCCAAGACAAGACCACTCACATCGTACAGGCGGACAAGGGCAACGCCACGGTGGTCATTGACAAGACCTAGTATGACCGAAAGGTAGCAGACATTCTTGAATCCAGCTGCTACCATAATTTCAAGAAAGATCCTACCCCCACTATCAACTGTACTTTCAAGAAAGATCGTACCCCCCCCCCACTATTAACAGAAAGCTACAGCAAAAACTAATCTCCCTCCAGCGTTCCGGCGGTATCTCCCAGTCCTTGTACCAACTCCAAATGCCCAAGGTTCTTCGTGCAACCCAAGATCCACCAAGCGGATACTCCACTTCGCCCAATCGTCGCTTCTAGATGTGGCCCAACTTACAACACAGCCAGACATCTTGCCAAGATACTGCACCCCTTGCTTGGCAACACCGAACACCACATCAAAGATTCAGACCAGTTCACCAACTCCATTCAAGACCTCACGTTCCAGCCAGACGACAAAAATCATTGTCCTTTTGACATCGTCTCCCTCTTCACGAATGCCTCGTGCTGCAAGGCTGCCACCATTATCAAGGACAGACTTCAGGCAGACCCCACCCTCAATGGCCGCACCGATCTTACTCCAGAACAGCTTCTAGACCTCCTGTTCACGTGTCAACTCATCAAGCTTCCGATGTAGAGATAGATTCTATGAACAAACAACCGGAAGCTCTATGGGATCCCCTATATCCCCAGTTCTGGCTGATACATTCGTGGAAGAATTTGAGCAGCACACGATATATCAACACTGCAGATCACAGACCCAAGATTTAGCTCCAGTACGTAGACGACACCTTCTTCATCATCTAGCAGCACAGGCACGGTAGCCACCAGCTCTTTCTGGAACACCTCAACGGGCTTCACAGTAACACCCAGTTCACAATGGAACAAGAAAAGGATGGCAACAACTCATATCTTGATGTCTAGGTATCCAGAAAGCAGGATGGCAGCCTCACCTGCCGTGTATACCGGAAACCTACCCACATAGACAGACACCTCCACAGCGCGTCCTTCTGTCAGCCAAAGATCAAGTCTTCAGTCAACCGGGCCCTTGTACGCAGGGCATACTGCATGTGTGACAAGGGAACCTCATCCAAGAACTCCGTCACATCTCCATGGCACTACAGCGCAGTGGATACAAGCCCAGACAAGTCAAGACCCAAGACCTAAGATCCCCCGGCCGAAGGGTCTCCAATACCAAAAGCCAAGTAGTCAAGGCCCCTAGGTCCATAGCCCTCCCTTTATGCAATACCTCCCCATCACATTCTCAAGAAGCATAGCATTCGAGCGTTCCATACACCCCCCTTGAAAATGCAGAACCTGCTGACTTTCCACAAGGACCGGCACAACTCACTTCACAAGCCTGGAGTGTACAAGATCCCCTGCCATTGTGGCAAAGTGTACATCGGCGAGACCGGCAGTGACCTCCCCGCTAGACTCAATGAACACAAAGCACATGGCAGGAAAGGAAAATACGACGAGCCTCCCACATCAAAGACCACAAGATCGACTAGAGCAAAGCCAAACTCCTCACCAGCATCAAGCACTAGTACCCGCCCCAACAGAGTACCACAAGACACCGGTTTCCACATTAGCGACATCTGGCGTCCCATCCTCACATCCCAGTCCAATGGGTCTCCTATACCCTATATAGGACGTTTCCAGCCTATGGGTCCCCTATACCCTTGGCTGCCTCCCCCACGCTCCCCTCCCTCAGAATGAGACGCCTCACTGGTTTGCCAGCATCCCAGTGCCCTCGGTTGGATCCTGAGTTAGCATCCTCTCCTCACCTTACTGCCCTCAACACACCATATAAGCTGCTTCATCACTGGACCCTCTGCAGTCTCCTGACGATGGACAGAGCATATTTGATTACCACCAATTCTTTTCAGAACCCGCACATGCTCAAAAAAGGAGATATCTAGTCTACTAAAAAAGACCCAATCCTGAATCCTCAACCTGTGAGCATGTGCTCTGCAGGTTTTTATACGGATTGCCCAGTATTTTTTCATTGGATCGAATGCAAGGGAGTGCCCCAGTGCCCCCTTCCTTCACCACACCGCCAGGTAATTCGAATGCAAATTATATCTCCTATCAGGAGTCTCTCCACACTAATCAAGTGAACAACCCTTACAAAGTCCAGGTCTGTGGCATATATCAAAGGGGCATGGTTAGCAAAACAAGGAACAACTGAGTTTCAGCAAGTTATTTCTTAGTGTGCAGTGGAGGGAATTTTTAATTTGGCAAAACAATTATGAATTCCATATAGATGAAAGCGATTTTGTTACAACACATAACGCGTTTTAGCATTGATGTTTATAAGAACTCTGAGCCTGGGAAAGACTGAAATCGGAGAAGACACCAGCAACTGCAGAGGCTCTCGCTCCTAGCGATCCTGCGTGCATTTAATTTGGCAAGTCACAACATCCAATTAGTCCAAGCGGCATGTAACGTACGCGTACCACCTGTCAGCGAGCGTGGAGGTGCCACAGCAGTATTGAAAAGGGATAGTATGCGCCTTGAGCGGAAGCACTCCCTCATCGGTCGAAAAGAGCCGCGTTGGTCGGGAGTACTCAATTTGTTGGTAGTGATGCGATCGTGACGCGTGCATTTCCTTGTCATTCGTGAACCAGCAAAGTTAAGTTCCCATAAAAGGAGCCGCCGTTGATAAGAAAATAGCACCCTTTCTTGGTCCAGGTCGAGGCCCATAGCACCGTGCAGTGCGAGCGGCACTATTAAAACGTGCTTCTGCAATCCTGGACAAAATTGTTGGGACACTAGCCATACGCTCTCTTGCCCTCCCCGGTCAATGTTAACATGTCCAGCTGGAGCGCAGACCGCGCACATAGACCCAACATTGAAAGGGGGTCTAGGGTTGGAGGCCCAACGAGATTTGTCCAGGATTGTAGTTCTGCAGGCTGAATTTACACTTTATCTCGATTTCACGCGACAGGCAGGCAGTCAGCCAAAAGACAATGGTACAGCACCTCCCCAGTTTAATCCTGCGACATTTTTTTTCCTGTCGAGACCATTATAATAAGACAAGCTATTCACGCACACGTATTACCAACGTGTTTCTCTTTCTTGCAGATTTCAGTTTTGTATCTAAAGACTTAAGATGAATGCCATACATGTATATTCGAATTTCATATTGAGAAAGGATGTGAAACAAAAGGTAACGTCTCCCAATCACTTCCGGGAGTATTCGGAACACAAGGCACAAGTATCACTTGCGTTCAACGACACTTGTTTCCGCGGAAATGAACGCAAGACGTCAATATACAGTTTAAGCGGAAGAGTATAAGCGAGTATGCACAGAACACACAGAAATTATACCACCACACAATTTCAAACGCTCTCTTCCTCATCGAACATGTACTTTTTCCTCGGTGTCTGTTTGTCAAATTTGGAAGGTGTGGCTAACGCCTGTTGCCTTATCGTTTCAATGCCAATATACCAATGTTCGATGGTTTTTATCCCTTTTCTGGATATTGTTATGTTTCTCTTTAACTGTTGCAGCCCTTAATAGATTCCCTGTCGGGTGCCATCTCGCACACACAGAGTAGTAATTTATACCAAAATAAGAACCGCAAAGATATCAGCAGGACTGTGAACACTAGGGGTTTGCGGTGGTCGGTGGATGATTTTGATATTACTTGATTTTTCATCGTGATTATTGTACTCTTTGCAGTGACTTAAATATTGTGCGTCTCTGTATACAGTCCAAACGTTAGAAACCGTTGAACGTGACATCGTCCTTGCTTTGAACGTGCGAAGAATGTTTAGTGATTAATACATCAAAACTGGTGACTAATGACAACACATTTCTTATAGTTCGTTGAATCAGGCTTATGTACTTCGCCATTGCTGGGTGCTATAGCAGGCACACATTCCATTATAATCATTACCAAAACTTGTCCAAAAATCTCATCATTGGGTGTCACGCACTGAAACCTCGGCCCCCCACCCTACATGCTCTTTTTGTGCATAAAGTCCTCCATCAAGAGAATGAAACTGATAGGCCTATTTGTATCAGCTTCCTTTACTTTTTTCAGTAGGTTGCCCAATATCTGTCTATCTTTCAACAACGGTGCGCAATTTGTAAATGTAAACTGTTGCAATTATTAAAAGGAAATGAAAATAATTTTTTTTAAATCACAGCACGTGCACGTTACCAACAATTTCTAGAACTGTAAACCAACCTGTGCCAGGGTTTCGTTTTCTGCGGAAACTGGGCATTTTGAAATTACGCCACGAGGATAAAAATGAAACGACACGAATGGCTCACCCACCGTTTCTCACCAATCGGAGAAAACAGAAAACCGCTAGTTGGTTTTACAATTCACTTTCATGGCTGTGTTCGAGTTTCATTCAGTGCAACCCAACCAGGCCGTAAAGCAGCTGCCCTTGGGTTGTTCTCTTAATGTCAACTCACTGTACAAACGAACGCCCAGAACTGGTGTGATCTTCTCTTTTCCAATGAGGAGTTATTTCCTGTACTGAAGTTTTTCTTTTGTCTCCGAAGCAGCACGCATTAATGGATGTTTGTCATTAATGGAATGTTTGTCGGGGAGTCCATGCCACGCACTTTCTGTGGACAACACAATGAATAAAAGTGTAATCGGTTACGAAGGACTGTCCGTCAACGATAGCCAGCTATGGGAACAGTTCGGAGCTTATACCAAGCGGAACAGCGATACAGACAAACTCATTGGTAAAATCGTTATGCCGGCTGGAATCGTGTTGAATTTGTTGTTCATCGCTGCTGCCGTCCGGGCGAGATCTATGCACACGATCATCAACATCTACTTGGGCAACTTGGCAGTGGCCGACACTCTTTTCCTTGCATTGGGAATATTCCCATCGTGGATCGACACGGAGAACGTCAGGCCATTCGCTGTGAATGTGATCAAATCTCTTTTCTCCGGTGCAACCATCGCTTCGTTTTGTTTTGTGACCGCCATAGCGGTTGAGAGATTGTCCGCCGTACGTCGACCATTGAGTCACAGAGCAACGGCCAGCAAGGCACGAGCTGCCAAGGTGTCGGGAACACTTTGGTTACTGGCTGTTTGTGTCAGTGTGATTTCGATCTCGACGTTCGGATTGGACCAAAACCCAATATTCGTGCTCCAAGCCTATGGAATCTTTTTCTTAATCTTCTACCTGGTCACTTTTACCGTCACCTTTTTTTCCTACTCAGCTATAATTGTCATACTTCGTCGTCAAACGGCCAGCCGGACACAAAGCGATACTCATCGAGTAGGAAAGGTCGTCCGGTCGCTAATTATAAACAACGCCATCTTTTTCATACTAAATTCTATGGAAATCACATACGTCATCATGGTGCTTGCTATTTTAAATCTGCGAGTGCCTACAGTTGAGCTTATCATGTACAGCAAGCGCCTGCACGATTTGGGCCTGTGTGTCGCCATCTTGTTACAGATCCACAGCGCTGTAAACACGCTGGTTTACAGCGCCACCAACGGCGACTATCGGTCAGCAGTGGTACAGACATTCTTGGAGCCCGTCCGGTGGTTGGCTCGAGTTCGGCATCGGCGCGAGGACCGGCATCACAACGGGAACGACCGACCAGATCAAGGCCGGGAGCAGATCGAACTCGCAGTCCCTGAAAGTCCTGCCAGGACTTCGATCAACTCGTCCCCGCTGCCTTTACAAAGATTGGACTAACCCCCTCTCGCAAAAAGTTTTGAAGGATGTACGTCACAGCTACGGACGCGCAAAGCATTGTGGGTTGCGTGGTGCCTAATACATGTACTTCAGCACACATGGCCCGTGTTTTTGTTTTAAAACGACTTCTAACCAGTGAGGACTTGAAGAAGTTCACCTTGTATGCTGAAGAGATCAGCACACCCAACAAGGGCGTGGGGGAGGGGCAAAAGACTACACCATCTAAGGATCGCACCGAGAGTCCCAAGTCAGCCAATGGCTTGTAACCATTGCTCCATTTTGAGCTTTGGTATCAGGCGTGGCTGTCGAAACTTTTAAGAGGTGAATCATTGGCAAAGATGTCGCGAAATAACTTCGTGGCTAGCACTTTTGCGACACCAGATGACGTATGGGCAGCAGTTATTGTTCAGTTATTGTACGTGTATTGCTCTTATGGCAGCTGCTAACTTCCAGCTGTTTCGATACTATCGGCCCATTTATTTGTAACTTCAAGAAACTGTCGATGGCTCGCTGGGAAAGTCATTAAATATACTCCAGATGGTAGGGTGTTTCTATATCGCAGGCCGAAGGGGACAAACTTCAAACTGTGTCTTTCATTAGTGAAGGAGGCTGTCCGTGCAAAGTAGAATTTTGAAGGATAAAATGTTAAATTGCACAAATTTAACAACCCGCGCGTTACAGGGAAGTTTTTGAAAATCGATAGAAGGCGAACGTGACCATCCGTTTAATCTGAGAGTAAAACAATCTTCAGGGCATTTTTTTTGTACAAAAGGTCAGGAAAAGCTACTCGGAAGACTGTCCATAGATGACAAACTCAATTTTTTAAACTTTTGTGTGGTTCTTTGGCGAAGCCAGTTCATTTCAGCATTAGGGAAAGGGATTTCGTAGCACTGCTGAAGAAAATAGTGTGCATAAATGCATTCACAAAAAAGTCATCTTGCAAATAAAATTCAACACTTAAGAAAGAAAACCATTTAAGAACATTTGAGAAATTCAACGTCGTGAAAACAAATCGTGAAGATTTCATAATACCGGCATTATTAAGACTAAGAGTCTTAAACTCTTTAAGTATTTCTACGAGCAAAAAATACTGCGTGGAAAGTTAAGCGATGGGTCAAAGGATACCATCTTGAGCAGAAGCACCCCTTCATCGGTTGAAAAGAGCCATGTTTGACGGAAGTGCTTATTTTGTTGGTAGCGACGCGATCGTAATGCGTACATTTCATAGTCGCTCGTGATCCAGCGTGGTGCAGTTCCGAACAAAGGAGCCAGCGTTGCTAGGAACATTGCGCCCTCCCTTGGCCCAGCTTGGGGCTCATAAAGAGTATTTTTCTCGTCGTTATATGCATTCAAATTACCGCGATTCAGTTATAACAAAATCACTGAGCCATGACTCGGTTATAGTTTGCAGACCTTGAATTCCAACTATCTGCAGGAACTTAATTTGAATATTTCGCCTCTAAATACAACTCTTTAGAATATTCCGCAAAATCAGTGCAAATTATTTCGAATAATTGTTTTTATTTTTTTGTGGGGGGGGGTTGTTAGACCGAGGACAAATGTATGTAGATCATTTCTCACCTATACAAAGAACCATTAAAATTAATAAATTGTCATAAATCTGTATTCTGAATCTTCCTTTGACCCCTTCCAAAGTGCGATTTCTTCACGCGTGTGATAATTTGGAGAACTACTGACGATGAGAAAGGTTGGTTATCATAACACAAACTTGGCTGCTGCACCGTTGACATAATGCTGCACGAGCAATGCCACACTTGAGCCATCTTGCCAGTTCCATCTCGGGTTCAGTTAAGCTGCAGGTGGAAGCCAATTTCCATCTGACTCCGTGAGGCATGCTCGATTTCTCCGCGGAAGAACTGACGTCCTTTACCGACTGTCGCTCGGTAAATTGATTTGTCGCCTTCGTCAAGGGCAGACGTTGTTTGCACGATAAACAAGCTGGTCACTTTGGGGATAAGGGGTTTCATCATAATGTACATATCCCCACCGGAGGGGATCCTTTTTAATATTCCTGTTAATTTCTATGCAAATTACATGAATCTTAATGGCATCTTTAATTTTTCATAACTGTGATAGATGGTTGATACATTTGGACGCACAAAGGTTAACAATGGCCATTCGTTATCTTCGAAGGGCTTAATTATACAACACTAATCTAGTGTCTCCGGTAATCTGTGATTAAACTGCGAAAGATGTGCTGTAGTGTGTAGAAATCAGTCGCTTGATCTATGAATTGTGTCCTTAAACCCAAAGAGTGCATATTATCGTAAGACGCGCACGCTGTAAAAATTCTTCTCTACTCACCACAATCGGCCAATGGCAGGGAAGTCACCAACAGTAGCATCCACATGGCGATGGCTTCAGCTCGTATTTCCCTCTGCCTCTTTCGACCTGTCCGTGTGAATCAACATCCACATGATCAAAATCGATCATTAAAAATCTTCGCTCCTGCCGAAGCGAACACCTAAGCATATTGGAAAATGTCGTCTCTCGCGTAAGATGTTCTACTGCATGTCTTTTAAATGGAATCATTGAACTTGGACATTAACTTATAAATAAAGTAAAAGACTGAAAGAACGAAGGTTTTTTTTTTCATTTGAAATAACTAAAAGCTGTCGCGTGCCTCGTAGAGCAGTTGTTTCGGTTGATTCATCAAATTAAGCTCGATCGACAAATCTCTTGATTAGGTGTTATGAATGATCAAAATACGCAAGATTAAGCAAAAATATAGTCATAATTTTTCACGATATGATTCATAATATAAGTCACTTTTTGTACTTTTTCTCCGTAAAGCTCTCAAATCTCTCAGATCCTGTTTGAATCTTTTTCTTAAAAATAGGTTTCCTCATCAAGATTTTACAGCATTGCACAATTGCAGTGGCTGGTTGACATGGAAAGGTGCAAAACCTCGTGAACGTTCACAAGTATTTATGCAAAAAATCAACTCTAACTAAAATTAGGCATGGGATATCGGCACAATTTACCCCATCGGGATAATTTAGTACTTCGTATCGTCGTACATGTGCTCTTATTCCTCCACGGTCGTACTCGAAAGAGACGAGGGGCATGGGAATTATACTGAACAGCATTCCACTATACGTGATAACTATATATGGGAAGAGGTCTTGCTTGTGCCCTCAGATAGACCGCGCTTTACATTTATAGACGCGGATGCCCTTTTGCTAAATTAAATTTGCTGGGCCCCCGAGTCAGATTTTTTTTTCTCTGCTCGACATGTTTCTCAGCGTCTTGTACCGAGGACAGATTGTTTCCTTTTATTTGATAACGGTGATAACGAGCGGGAAACAGAATCTGACCCGTACTTTTCAACGGCCAGACACATTTGTGACGTGGTGTGTAAAACTGGAAATCGGACGAACCCTGGGAAACTGGTCAAACGAAGACCAAACGCGATCGCCTTTCATTTTGTGGTATATACTTGAAAAATTATAAAGTAAGACTGACCAGTCCTGCGGTTTCCTTCGAGCGAGGGTTCTGAAAATTGTTTCTGCAAATTTCGTGCATGGGCCTTGTTTATTGGAAAACTGATTTTTTTTTCATTATTTCATGAGGGACATAGAAATGTTTACATAGAAAGTCACTCTGAAGGTCAATGAAAACCCGTGTTACTCCAAAATTCTCCTACTGATAAAAATGTACAACAATCAGTGAGCGAAAATTGCCCTCGGAAAAAAATACCAGTCAAGTAAACTACATAATTACAAAAGTTGGTCGTAATATCGCTGATATTTTTGGATTAGCGATGCTATTGTGATTGCTGTGTTTTGTACTTCCTGTGGTTACGATAATACTTTTTTTTCATCGACGTTATGGATGGTACAAACCAACCTTAAATCTTTATAATGACATACTGTCGAAGAACGTGTTCGTCTTATTAATATATGCCCAAATCGGAAGGCAAATATGTGGCTTAAAAATATGCATGGTGGTCTCTTTAAAGAAAACGGAATGTCGGAAGAAGTTAGCTCCGAGCTACATTCAGGCGTCTTGCTGCATCGACGGCCAAGGCTGCTTGGGCAAAATTCAGTTTTTATAATTAATCGGGCAGGTGAAATTCAACCGCCTGGAAATTAACCGCGACGTGCATTCCGTCTCCCGCGGGCAGGTGTTCACTGAAATCAAACTGTCGATGCGTCTGAGTGGTTGGGTTATTTTTGAAATTTCATTGTAGGCAGAGGCTGTCTTGTTCCGATTTTGCCCTGGAATCTGGTGCTTTATGTACATTGTGCGTCGAACATGCGCAATATTTTTTTTCAAAAAATCAGGTCCAGACGCATGCGCGAGCATGCGCTTTATTCCTGACCTTCTTGACCGCGCTCATCAGGTATAAATAACTACCGTTTCTTCGCTCATAGCACAATAAAAGAAACACGCAGTAGTTTTCTCAGGAGAGAAAATTGCCGGGTTTTAATTTTGTTTGATAAAATGAATTCGATCATAAGTGAACTCCGTTGCCAGTGAAGAGTCTCGCCGGCATGCGTTGACACTAACACAGTCGCACTGCTCACAAAATAAGACCTGCCACGGGTAATCTTGACACGCGCTCGTGGTAGTAAAACAAAAGTGAAACGACTGTACAGTGATCACAACCGCGCCATTACTTTGTTTACAGATTATAATGTGGACGAGGAATACATGCAGGAAGTAGCAAACACGAAGAGTGATGACAGTATTGTTTGAGCAGAGTGGTAGGAGAATTTAAGAGCCAGATCGGAATACTGATGGAAGTTAAATTGGGATGGCAATAAAAGCAGATCATAAATGCAAAACTGATGTTGTGTACTTAGAAGATCAAAGTTACCAAACTGTTCCCAAATTAACTGTTATCGTACTGGTATTTGCGGCATATCCGAATTTAGACATGAAACCTCAACAGGGTAAGAACTCAGAATGTTTTGACTTTTGTGTGATGACTATATTCTAGTTCCATGCCCGATATTTCAGAAAACAGCTGTAGTGTGTCAACTCTTGATGTCATTTCTTTCAAAACCGTACGCGAGAATATTTTGGACCTTTGATAAATGGAAGGGTCATCGCTATTTAGAGCACACAAAAATGACAACTTTGTCTCTCAATCTATGTCCTTTGCCCAAACACCAATAATTCTCTTTCTTAATTTAAAAACCTTCTCAAACTACGGTTTATATGCATATGTTAGAAAAATTATACTGAATGGAAATTTTATAGATTGGAATTTGGAACAACAGTGCTAAGAATGAAAGTGCTAAAAATCGATGCGACGGTCGACGCTGCATAATGTGCTTTCAATATTCAACTACTAAAAAAAAATACTTCGATGAAATTTGGCGTGAGCAATTGCATATTGAATATACACACCTTAAATGAAGTAGATGCTGCCAAGGAATATATTAGTAACGAATATATTTGCTGAGAAGTGTTCCAGATGACACAATGCTATGATTGCGTTCGTTTCGTTCCTTCTAATGCGCCGGTACACCACTAAAAATGCTATATGCACGTACGCATGTACACAATGGCTCGAACCAAAAATAGCGACACTCGATATTTGCTCGAAATTGATGATTTTCTCAGTGCCTGGATTGGCATTTGTTATTGCCAACTCAACTTTCATGTACTTGAAAATAATACCTGTGGCACTTAAGGTACACAAGTAAATAAGTAATAGTAATCAAATTTCATTTCATCACAATTAACGAATCGTGGTCTTTATACATTGGGTTGCAAGGAAATCGTGAGTATCTTGTCGGCACGATTTACGCACGACCGCTGTGAATGACGGCCGTGTTATCTATCACTGTTTACCGTCTCGATAAAGGTACGGTGTCATACACACACTAATCGTAAGACAACAAGATACCATCATAACTCACCTGTCAAAATCCAGCGTGGATGTGGAGAGGATTCCCGTCTAGTTAATGGTTCCCAACACAGCCGTCTACCGACAATGATGATGGCTGGAATAGCCAAGTGATGATCTATAAGTCGTGCTGTGTGTGTGCTCAACCCGCATCACTCAGTGCTCGGCCGTAGTTGCATCTCTCCATCTACGGCGTATGCTGAGCTGCATTCCTGGCCCAGCCACGCTCTGCATCAGCGCTGTCGATAACAACCCCCCTCCATCTCTTCATGTCATTAGCTATCCAGAGCTCTTGTACCTGGCTATTTTTAGCTCGACTGAAAGGTCACGTGGTCGCATCTGCTGCCGTCTGCATCATTACGCCGCATCCCCTTTCCCCCCGCTCAATCCATCCTCCAAACGCGGGATATTGCAACTCTGTGTGATTGGCCCTGCGAGTATCCTGTCGAATCCAATCGATTTCCCGTCCTGCGCGGTTCGGTTCGGCAAAACACGTCTCATGTTACTGACTGGGTTGTTACTGCATACGGTATAAGAGAAAAAAATGCTTGGTTTGATTTGGTAATGAAAAATAGTTACTAATTTCAATTAGTAGTGGGGGAGAGGAATCGTACCTTTTCGAAAGCAAATATTCAGTTAACTGAATTTTTCACTTTTGCTGTTACAAAATCGAGCTGTCTCTTTAAATTTCATATTCTAATCATTCATAAGTATCACATTCATTTTTCAACCTGCAAGACTAATGTACATGCATCATATTTACACCTGTCACTTTAAAGGCATCAGGTAAACGGTAACAGATGGACAGGTTTATTGTGTATTCACTGCGCACCGATGCTAGAGATGTTGCAGTGTTTCAGAGCATCAGCATACAAAGGACATTATGCTAAGGGATGCCAGTTACACGCAGTGTATTCCAACATTGCCCAGGTTGTCATCATTGGCTTGTCATCTCAAGAAACACATGCCAGTGACAGCTCCCTCTAGTGATAACTTGCAGGAAGAAAAAAATATCGAAAGGGCACATGACTTAATATTACATAAGAACATAGTTTGTGCAACTTGGTACTCTCCTTAAACGTTAGTAAATTATTTTACTTCAATTTTAGCTAATGCCGTTGAAATTTTCCCTACTTTCCGTGATAGAGGAGGGCGCTGTTGCTGTTACAATTCGTGTAAAAATCTGCATTAGCATAAAAACTCTTAAGCGTAACGTATTTCCCCGACCATAATATTCCGACTATTCTGACCAAAAAAAAATCTTGAGTTAAAACTATACGTAGCCGCCGTTGTAACACCACGTGACCAGGGAGTATGATGTTGGGTCCGATTTTGTCCAAAAGTTTTCTGTAGTTGTTGACTTTTCGGATAATGTCGTTAATGTTCGCGAAGGTCTTGAGCGTATGTAGGTCCCCTATCGCCTTTATTTTCTTCACACACGCACAATGCGGAAAAAGTTTTCCGAAAGTGTTTATATTCCGACCACCTCTACAATTTTTTTTTCTGGAGGAATATCCTTGGATCCTCTCAGCAGGGCGTGCCAATACGGGCGATTCGCAATAGCGTGTCTCCAAGAGTTTGCGATGCGTTGGCCAATCACAGTGCGAGAAATCTGTCGACCCTTTCCAAACGAGCACTAGGTGGACAGACTTTGCGCATTGTGATTGCCAACGCGTTACAAACTCTTGGAGGCGCGCTTTTGTGAAACTCCCGTATTATGCTTCTCAACGTCCATTTACTCCCCGACCATTTCCTTTCACTTGATCAGCCCCTGGGTAATGTAACTCCAACAAAGTTAGATTGTACGCTCACCAGGTTAGTGTCGACAGTAGTTATACTTTTTACGGTTTGCGTACGAGACACTTATATTTTTGTGTATGGACTCCGAGCTGGACCAAGAGAGGGTGCACTTTTCCTAGCAGCAGAGGCTCCTTTGGTAGGAGCTTCGCATCGGTGGTTCAGGGACGACTATGAAACGCAAGCGTTGCAGTCGCATCGTTACCAACAAAATAAACACTCCCGACAAACACGGCTCTTTTCAACCTATGAGGGGGTGCGCTTCTGCTCAAGGCGGATCGTAAATTGTAAAACATTTTTCTTTTATCTGCAGGGCCCAATTTCATGGGGCTGCTTAAGAGTTAGCAGAAAATTTGTGCTACTATAACATAAATTTTGCTGATTTTTTGCACTATTTCATGGTGCATACTTACTTAGTTGTGCTTAATAAGGTTGCGCGCGCACATGTGTGCTTTTGCCGTACTTTAAGCTTACGGTCCAAGTTCACGAAATACACGGAGCGTCTGTCGACGTCGAATCGCGTGCTTCAGGGCCGTGAAAATGGGCGCAGGATTGAATTATCGCTGAACGTCAAATTCTTTCAGATCCCGGGGAAGCTTTATGTATCCCCCCGTGACCTGTCTAGGGAACAGCTTGCACTGTTTGTATAACAACACTAGTGCGAGAACTTCCCGGATGACGTCTGACCTTGACGAACATCACTCAAATGCTGACGCAATTGCTAAGCAAATGCCGTCACGTGCACGCTTTTGAGGGATGCGGGTCTCGGATGGCTGTGCACGCCCGACGGGAATTCTTTGGTTAATTGTTCCTGAAGGGCCGGCTCGTGCAAAATATTTTCTTGGATGAAAGTTGGTGCAGGCATCTTTGTGTCCTATTCACTGAAGAAATAGGATGGCCATCTCTCGCGATTCACTTATGTTTTTGTACAAATTGTGAGCATAATGTTGGAAATGTTGTACCGTCAAGTGAAATTTATATTGAAGTGTATGTATTAAGCATGACCCTCTAAGTTAATTCCGAGCTCTCGGCGAGTCATCTACCTGTGTCATTCTAGCTCCGAGTCTCTCGTGTGCAGGGGGCGAGCTTACGCTGCATCCGAATCTCTTGTCTAGAGCTAGGTCTAGGTCTTCACTCCATTGAAAGTACGTGGAGACGCGCAGACAATAGACCTAGCCGTAGCTCTGGAAGCCCGTTTCGGACACGGCCTTACATGGTGACGTTGTCTATGTCGCCATGCGCACTTGCACTTCCGATCTCGCCCATAAATGGAGTCTTCTTTTACCCACTATAGTGATATGGCTTCTCCACACCTGAAGAACGGCGGAAAAAGAATTGCCCTAAAACGTCACCATTTTCTATCAGCAGAGTAGATTTTTCATACTCTCTTAATCTTGAAGTATAGAAAATAGAAAGGGAAAAATGAAACGAAAACCTACCGGGATGTTGAGGACGCAGGCGATGTCGGAACCGTTTAGAAGCTGTATATGTACAGCTCTGTGGGAAATACATAGGTCACAAGACGTAGAGCGCCCTCTGTGATACCGTGCACGATATGGGGCCGATGGGTCCCCCCCCACGTCCAATCCCTATACACACTGAAGACTATCGTTACCTAACACATGCCCCCAGAAGTCTGTAAAGAATTCCTGAGATTTCAATCAAACAATGACCAACACAAAGGCGGGGGGGGGGGTTAACTCCGTCCCATATCTTGCATCATATGCCCTCTGTGACCTGCTTGACCTGTTATAAAGACAGAAGTGGCCGGGGGTGATATTTGGAGGGACTCCCTAAAATGAGTGCAAAAATACGTACATTTCGGGGCGTTGACAATTGGAATGGTACCAGCCCCCAGAAAGAACTCTGGTCAGTATTAACAACTCCATTAAATTTAACATGATAAATAATATAAATCAATATTAAGAGATTGCTATACCTTAATGAGGCATCCACTGAGTGCTAATCATTCCTGGTACTGGTTCTGTACACATGCACGAATTCCAGCAACTGCCGGCTGCATACCCGAGCTACACCCCCTAGAACCCAGGTGGCAAGCCCAAAAACCAGGCTAATGCAATGAGCAGAGCCCCGAGAAAGGTTCCATGCGATGTGGCCGTCTGTAACGTGGACAGTCCGCAAGATGTGAAGACGCAGACACGAACGGAAGAAATGGTGCATGGCATCATTCCTCCCAAAAATTAAAACAAAATGGCGTCAGAAACTCCTTGATTTTTTTCCAGAAAATACCCTTTTAGATTGACTGTACCGCGTCATGATGCCAAACCTGTCTTCCAGTTTCATGCACTTCGTTGATGGTCTGCTATTTAGTTGTTGACAGGGCATCTTATAGGCCCTGCTAATTCACGCTTTGTACAGAGTACAATTAAAAGAATGCGTTTGCCGCAGAGTGGGAACAGCTGCTGAAAGTTTACGGTGGCGAATAACTCAATGAGATACAACAAAGGCGCCTTTCCAGATGTACGTTTTTTGGGTGTGTTGCGTACACAGTGCGTTCATGCGCCATAATGCTGTAAAGCATAGACTTGCTGAGGTCAATGTGTATAAATGTATCAATGATAAGCTGCCACTGTATTTTAAATCATACTTTAAACTTACCTCAAATGTTCACTCATATCATACCAGAAGTACCTCTCCAAAGAAATTATATGTTGATACCAATGGAACTTCATGACACAAAAACAGTCTTGTACAATGTGGTGTCCAATACTGGAACAGCCTAAATGAAACTATAAAAGCAGCGCCCACTTTATTAACATTTGCTCTTAAGTTGAAAAATCTAATACTTTCTGAATACATCACCTGTACCCACTAGAATTGTATTTTGATGCATTGTATTATCTCCTGCCTGTCAGTGTTTGTCCGTATGTGTATCATTGCCAAAAACATTTTCATGTCTTGTATTGTCCTATGTTATAATATGTATGTCTGTCAATAGGTTAGGGTACAAAGGCAAATTTATGCTTCACCCTTTACCTAGATGTTGTTCTTTAACGTGTGCTTTGTCTTTCTGCTTGACATTGTACATTCTAAGGCGAACTATTGTAAAACTTAATTCATCTTCTACTCAGTAACCATGGTATGAACAACATTAAATAAACGTCTGTCAAAAAAAAACAACAAAAAACAAACAAAAAATGGCCTTGGAACCGTAGCTCGCACGCCTGGCAGAAATTTACCCACAGTGCTCTGCGCCTCGGTAGCCGCCACCCCGTGTGAAGTTTCCCTCACTAAAATCTGTGCAGAGCCATCAGCCCTTCCAAGAGCCCTGTTCAGGCGCCATATAGGCGACGAGCGCAGTGTACATTACAGCATGCAGCTGTTATGCACTATTGTGTATTCATGTGCATCGACGCATAATCCGCCATTTTGGTTCCAACAAGGAAGACATTCATGTCGCAACTCTCTCTGGCCGCGTTTGTTTCACAAGGATCTGTCATTGGTTTACGTACACCAAACCCGCATAGTGGATGGTGCGGACCAGCGTTAGGATCACTGATCGAGGTCCAGATCGGTGTGAAACAAACGGGCTCTCTATCGACATCTCTGCCACGGTCAGCCGTCTATCTGCAGTAGGGCTAAGAGAGTCTTCTTCGCCAATGAATTTTGATCCCATGCGGTATAGGTCGGATTGGTGACACTGCTACAGTAAAAAAAAAAGTATTCGAATTGTACTGTTCAAACATCTTCCATCTTCTTGCATACCCTTTTACTTGAACGTCTTTGAAATTGCGACAAAATCAGGCTATCTGTAAGTCCTAAGGGCGAAGCGTGGTGATTTTCACACTGTAAGCCTATCACAGGTGGTTCCAGTCCACAAGACGAAAATCACCGATTGTTTGCCATTAGGATTTAGCGTAACGAGTTTATAATCAACTAGGTATGATTCCCTCAATGTTTCAAACTGACTACGTAAAGATTTGACACACATGTTGTCCTTCGTTCAGAGTCCCTTTGTTCAAGAATATTGAAAGATGTTGGACTGGTTCCATCTGCGTGTCACTCAAGAGGCACGTGGGTTCTAGATCCTACATGAAGCACCCCGGACCTTCCAGAGCTGATTTATTGACGGTAGCTTCGCCGTATATTACGCAAAGAATATTGAAACCGATACGGCTTGTCTTTCAGGGATCCGTGCCAGCATGCTGCCCCCGACCCCCGGGAAAATTGAGCTGATCGTGAACCCGGGTCTCCTCGAATGACGTCGGCACGCTCAGCTCCATCACATCACACCGACGCTGTCGCCAAGACATCGCAGGCAATAAACAGACTCACTTGTTTGGTTAATTTATTTTTTTCTCTGAAAGTATACATTGTTCTCTTGTCCTGAAGTGAACTGTTTTTCTTGAGATTTTGTGCGATATTAAGAAGAAAAGCCCACGCAGGTTTACCCACCGAATGCATACCTTGAGAGGCGGTTCCTTCCTCAATTTCATTTTAATACAAATTAAGTGATGCACTTTCAATTTCGTGTTTGCGGCATCATATCTTATTTTGTCTGGCCTTGAAATGAATGGGTGTGCGTGTCGTTCGGCACACAGATCACATGACACCAGACCACACCGGCCGGATTTTGGCAACTGTTTGGGGTATAATTCACCCCGGGAATTGACTCAGTCACGACAAGGAACGGAAAAAACATCCTACTTTCTTATTAACCCTGAATCCATAAAGTACGAATGTCGTAATTAATCAAATTGTTTTAACTGCGCCTTCCTCTTTCCGAGAACACATTCAACACACGAAAACAACAGAACTACATCCGCCAACCGGAAACAAACGTGCACATAGCGTCATTGTCAGTGATGGTTGACCTAAAAACTATTGGAGTTTTTCTGCAGAATTAGGCTTTATTTCATTTTCTGGACCAAACCTATGACTTGCGTAAGGTTTTGTTTGTTTTTTCTTTTTTCTTTTTCTTTTTTGTGGTTTCACTGATAACTTGCAATATCTTGTTTTAGTGATAAAAAGAGAACAGAGAAACTTCCCCTGTTGAAATATCGGACTACACTTCCCCCTCCCCCCCAAAAAAGAGAGAGAAAAAATTCTCTCCTATACAAGTCTGATTACCGCAGCGTATTTGTGTTTTTAAAAATTTCGAAGCCCGGCCTGCTCAGGCCCAGTGCACGATGTCACGTACCACGTCGGCCACAATGAAGAGCGCCCTCAATAAAAAATATACAGCCCCAATAATTACGTTTCAGTGAGTGGTTAATAGATGCAGGATGATTGGGGAAGGAAATGGTGGGCTTTCGCAATCAGAAATAAACCTGAACCCATCTGCGTGCGCTAGTGGCTGAAATTCAAACCTAAGGCCCGAATGAAACAGAACTCGGTTTGACAAGTCTCACTGGGCGCCCATGAATCACACAACATACTTATCCCGGGCTACCTAGGGTCTGATATCCAGTCAACACAATAATGCGGGGGAGGATCCATTGTGGGTTGATCGTCCCATAGAGCTCTATGATATTCTGTTGATTGTTGTTGGTATCTTAACCTTGACATGAGGGGGTGGGGAGGGTACGGGGTTTGGGTTTGGGGTGGGGCGGTGTTCCCCATTGTTTGTTGTGTGGTTCATGTGGAAGGGAGGACGGCCGGCAACGTGCCAAACGAAGGTAGAGAAACTCTTGGACAGTAACTTTGAACGCTAAGACTGTGAAACTCAGAGAGGAAGCTCTGCATGTACGTGTACTTACAACCAAACGGTATTGGGAGATTGAAATATGTTCTCACGAGTTTTATGCTTTGGATTAAACTCCCACGAGATGAGTTTGCTCCGCCGATCGCCTGCTGAAAGCTTGTGCCCAAAATAAGCTTAACTTTCAATTCAAACACAGGTGAATTTGTCATTGATTAACCAACAACCCCCCCAAGAAAAAAATACACCATGGCAACGATTCATCCCAGAATCAGAGGACATTTTTACACAATGTGGAACAATTTGTAACATGCAATTAAAAAATAGCACTTATATTTAGGAATCTTTTGGAAAGCGCATAATTCGTTTGCCTGATAAAATAATGCATTTGCTTTGAATGTAGGTACCACAATGTAACAGCAACAAGACAGAGATTAATGTTGAATGTTTTTCGTTACACTAAAGGTAAAATTTTCTCACGAGATTACCAATTATCAATTCTCTTATGGTAGAATAAACGTGCAATATCTCTTGTGTAGTGCCTTATTGTTTTGTTTGAGTTTACTTTGCTTTCTGTTTGCTTTTTAATGTATTGCTTGCTTTCCTCCTTTTGGTCAGTTGCGAATAAAAAAGTGACTGTTCTGCTCAAATTCAAGTATTTACCAAGTATTCCAGATTCACGCAAAGTTAACCCACTTTTTACATAAATATCATCCTTTATACTTGTAGAAATCTTTTCGCTGAGAACAGCGCGCGCGAAAGCCATTCCGTCGGTCCCTTTTCAGGCTTTGCACAACTCGGAGACTGTAACTCGTCAACTGAGTTTGTTGTTGAGCTAAGATTACTTGGAACTCTCTTTTAATATACCCATCCCATCAGCTCCATCCCAACCCCGTCACTTTCCATCATTTTAAGGTTTTCTCGGTTGGGAGCTGAAGGCCGGTTCATACATCACGCGAAAGCGAACACATATTAATTAATGCGAATTTGTGACGTCAGATCGAATTC